CGGGCCACATGTGCCCCCCCCCCCCCCCACCCCCCCGCAAAGGGCGCAAATTCACCAGGGGGTGCCGAAACGTGACTGAATATGCGAAGCAATAATGGATGCCACCCTCAGTTTTACTTCAGGAAGTGAAATTGCCTTCCGTTTCGGCGCCAATTTGGACGCTAGGGATTACCCCTTCTCCATTCTGAGGGGGGTTAGGGAATCTCTTTGCACAGGACGCCGAAATAGCTAGGGCCGGTCCTGTCAAGGATTGACTCATTGGCTTCATTGGCTCTAACAAGACCAATCGATTGATTGATTGCATCTGGTCGTGTTAATGATGATATTAAAGGCAGTGGTATGCTGACAAGGGCAAAGGGAGCGGGGAGACAGGGATGACAAATGCCCTCCACCCCTCTTTTCTGTTCGTGGCGGCAAATAGTACCTGTTGCCCCCCCCCTTCCCCCCACACATACACACACACAAAAGCACACACCTTTTCAGTTAGATGCATTTCTCTGATTAGAGGGTCGGGTTTTGCCTGGCGCATTCGTGGAACTCTCCCACTTTCGAGAAAGTTCTTAGGCCAATGCGCGTCGACCTCCATCTAAGTGCTTCAGCAACTCTTCCCCCTCCCCATGTTCTTCTAAACGTCACATGTCTCTATCAACCTGTGTACGAATACAAATAGGTTGATTGTGACATTCAAGTCATCCTAGATCCTACATCAAAAGATGCCAGCATGCCTTTTTCGAGGAGCATGCCTTTTTCCTTCCAAGAGAGGAAGTCCCAGTCCTCGAGTCGAAAAAGTTAGAGCACTGCTAACAGAGCCAGTAAAAATACCGGACACAAAGGTCTGAAAATACCTTCGTGCAGCTAACCCTTCTCACGAAAAAGACCTTTAAAATTGGCCCAAGTCGGAATGTCAGGCGTGAGGCGAATGAGAGTCGGGAGCTTCTCCATCCTGGTTCGTGATTCCGCGGCCAGATGGCAGTGGAGGCGGAGAGGGAAGAGAACTGGCATGGCGTCAGGCCTATTTGTCGTGTTGTGTCGTTTCTCCTGAATGACTTCGTTCTGCGTAGCTTCGGTCCAGCGGGCTTAATCCGAATTTGTTCACCCATATTCGTCCACTTATATATCTGCATAATTATATAAATTGTTGGATTTAGAGATTACCATGTATCTGCAAGAGAACGTTCATTTCTATTCAACCGCACGTTTCGACCTTCAACATTGGACCTCGGGATAACGTTAGGCCTAAGCCGAGGCTAGCCAAACTTGAGTCTAATTGTTGAGGCAGGTGAGTTGCTGAATGAATACAGAGCTTGACTGACATGACAGGGGGACCCAGATTCGAAACCGATCAAGTCGAGCATTAATTTCCGAGTGCAAACCCCGGCGTATCGGGAAAGAAGGCCCTTGACCACGTAGCACTTACATATCTAAATATAGACGTTGAAGTAATCCTAGTTGTGAAGGTGGAACCCTGGTAGCATATACTCATCTCACAGAGTAACTGCTGAGGTCAATTAAGAGTCTCCTGTAGAGTTCCAGTAGGTGATAGTAATGGGCTGAATCCTGAATTCAATAGCCTCAGGTTTCTTTTGGAAGACTACCGAACAAGCCGTTGAACATTGCCTGCATTGAGATGAGCCTGTTAACATTTAGGCATAGGTCGTATTTTGTGATGTTTTGTTCCAAACTGATGAGTTCAGGGGTTTTGTCAACTTGTTTCCAATACACACTGTATTACAGTTGGTGAGGTCATAATTCATTATTGAGGAGTTGGATGGAAACTGCCACTAAAGAATGTGAGGATTGTGAGTGGTATTATGGTAAGGTAATTCTGAAAAGTACTGAGTTTATTTCATGTTAATTTAATCCCCCATAAGGTTTGGATTTCCAGCTGCAATTCCAACTCTTTGGTTAAAGATGAGAATACTTCTAGATTTAACTCCCTAATTCCTAAAGTCTGTGCTGAAATTGTGACCTTTCTAAGCATTATGGGTAGAATGGGTCATGGGCAAAATGCTGTAGTCATTCCTATTAGTCTTGTTGATTTGCTTATGTTCTTATGGGTTCAGGGGACTACTAGTCAGTGTAGTTAGCATGTTCTTCTAAACATACCCATGAAGTATTGAGCTAAAGTCAGGGAAAGTTAATTTGAAAACTCTAGAGTAAGAAATTAACATTCATGGGAATCTCTTCAAGATTTTTAGCTTTCACTGTATGAAGTACTCATCTATATGTGATTGTCAATACCCAAAGTGTACTTGCTTTCAAGAATCTGCTAGATGCATGCTGGTTTCAATGAAGCTCGTCATTTTGACAGATTTTGAAAGCATAAAAATAATCTTTCAGATCATTAATGCATTGTTTGTTTAGGTTGGCATGAACCCCATTGGAGCGAGTCTTCTGGTTAACCAAATGTAGAAAAAAATGAGAGAGATCTCTCTTTCCTAAAACAGAGGTATCTCTCCTTTTTCTCCTCATCCAGAGAACATGGGAAACAGGACAAGTAGAGTAGATGTTCTGAAAAAGTTAATAGAAGGGAGACTGAATGTTATACCTGAGCACTTGGTCATTTTGATGTTTCCCCCCTTGTTAGGGGTGAGAGGTCCAGCTAACCCCCTGGACCAAGAGGGAAGATGCTGTCTTTGACTGCCATATGACCTGTTAGCAGGTTATATGCTAAATACATGCTTATATGTTCTGCACTTTTGTGACTGCAGTTTACAGCTTTCACACTTATATTGTGGACTCCTGAGATTTCCTGCCACCTGACAAAAAACTGCTGACATCCTCTGTGCATTTTGAAAATATTATTATTACAATTGCAAAGCACATGAACATCACTTCATTGAAGAGATAAATGAAATAGGACAAGTAGTTTAGCCAGTAGGTCATTTGGCCTCTGGATGGCAATTTACCTAACCAAAATTGGACTTGGCAGGCAAAGTATGCAAGATATTTCATGGAGAGGGACATTACCTGTTCCTTGACTTGTGTTACATTCCCCTGCCACTGTGAGACAACATTCTTCCATTGAGAAGGAATTCATTGATGCATTGAAAGAATAAACCATCAATGTGAATCAATGAGTGATTAGGAGATAGAGAATCTAAATGGCTTCTTCATAAAAAAAAATAGGAATGCTAGAGATCTTTGATCTGCAACCTATTTTTTGTCTTCTGGAGAGAGGACGGGCATTGTACGTCTTGCGCACACCACCAGAGCACCATGCACACGGTGTGCACTTGCATAGTACGTCTCGCGCGCACTAAGGCAACATGCCCCTATGTAAGAGGATTATCAAAGCCCAACATACCACACATGAGGAAGTTGTTGCGTAAATTGGGGGACCGTTGGAGCCATCTTCACTACCAGCGTAAAATGCTGCACGGGCACGGCTTTACCGTCCCGACCTGACCCGACCCGAGCCACTGTTCTCGCACAGTCATTTAAGCCAATTTCCTTGCGTTTTCGACGTTTTGACATGCTCACGGCTCGTTTGTCGTTTTATGCAATTTATGCCGGCCTATGCATTCACATTTTGCCAGCAGTGTTATAAACTATAAAGTATGCGTTCTTCCTCCAGTGGGAGAGGGCTTAAATAAATTAAAACGCATCCCAGACGTGGAGGTCGGTTTTCATGATTTGACATCAATGCCTCACCAGGGTGTGGGAGGTCAGCCGGGCGCGAGACGCACTCTAACGTAGGAGTGGACAAGGATGCACGGTGTACATGGGTGGGCGCAAGACGTACTCTGGGTGGGGGGGTGTGCGCAAGGCGAACAATGCCCAAGAGGACTGGAAGGAAGAGTGAGCATATAATGTAAATGACTAATTCTTACCTATTTACTTCTCAAGTTTTATTACATATATGAGTCCATGTTCAATAATGAAAAATGAGCAAACTAAAATGGCAGTGAAATAGGTAAATTGTGTAATTTCTACTCATTCCTTATTCCTCTATTCATTTGCTAGAAAACAGGGATATGATTCAAGAGGGGTAGACTCAACAGTTGGCCTAAGCTAGGATATGATCATGAGGCAAAGTTTTAATATTTGAGTGACTTTTTATTTCTTGCCAGATGTTCAGGCCTACCTGGTGGAGACTGGGCCTATGCATCTGCAAGTGATATTGTGAATTTGGTCTCATGCCAGAGAAGATTTCTGTGTTTTGTTGTGTAACTAAGACTGACTGTTCAGCTGAAATGTGTTGTTCTAAGTCTAGAGTGAAACAGAAATTGGCATTATGAAGATTGACAGAAGCAAACTGAAGAAATGTGTCTCACAAGCAGTAAGTACTGATGTTGATCTAGGCTAGGGCCTAAAGCTAAGCCCTTCTGTCTTCCATGGTCACTAGATCCAGACTAAGTCTACATGGGGTTGCTTCAGCCTTTTGGGCATATAGGATCAAAATGCATGAGGCTACTGCCAGATCATGTTAGGAGTGATATCTGTTGGTGACTGTGATGTAAGGCATGGAATGAATGTAATAATATTCATATGATTCACATTTGAGGTGCATTGATGTCTGCTATAGTATAATGGCTTGGCTCATTAGTGTTTGCTAGGTCCTTCCCATAGGATTTTTCCTTAAATGACATCCAATTTTGCTTTATTTTTCAAAGCCTCCAGAGTGCAAGGCACTCATTGATAGACTGAAAGCATGCACCAAGGAGCATGCATGGAGGGATGCCCTTGAAGAACTCCTGGAACAGCTGAAGTCCATAGACTCTTGGAACTTTGGAAAATGTGAGCTGTTTCACTGGGTTGACATCCTTGATGTCTTTGATTCCATCTTGGAAGATGCTGCTACTAAGAGAGAAGATAAGCAGTGGACCCTCAACTGTGATCTCCCTTCAGACCGCATGGTGAGCTTCTTTCTGTCAAGACCTTGTAAGTCTAATTATTGATTTTAAATGGATGCCCTTTTTTTTCTGCAGAAGAAGGACCTATTACTATGGGTGCTGCACTTCACCACACTGCTGATCGAGCACTCCTTCTCTCGACATTTGTACAATTCCATGGAACACTTGACTGCCTTGCTTGCATCCACAGACATGAGTGTGGTGCTTGCAGTGCTGAACCTTCTGTACATGTTCAGTAAACGAAGTAATTTTATCACACGTCTGGCTGCTCCAAAGAAGAAGGTTCTTCTATCTCGACTTACCTATTTAGCAGAGGTGATTGAACTTTTTACATATTGAAATTCTTTATTTTCTTTATGCCTAAGCAGAGAGAATTCATCTGTGTTCTTTTATGTAGAGTTGGGGAGGTGCTGAGAATGGATTTGGCCTTGCTGATTGTTGCAAAGATCTACCTTTGTCTGTAAGTTCAGTTTCCAACTTGTGATTACAATAGATCTATTGTTCTTCTCTCCACTGGAATAAGCTTGTAAAAGTGCTTCCTTATAATCTGACAAACCAGGAAGGAGACCTAGAGTTATGGTGATATGGCTTGCTTCAGGATCTTTTATGCCTTTTAATCAAAATATCCAGAAAAAGTTAAGATTGTTTTGGGCATGTTACCTGTGAAAAGTTACTTATTACAAATATCCCATCCTTGAAGTACTTACAAGTGTATTTCCTCCTCATAAATAGTAACTACTTACAAGTATAAGTTGCATTTCTCAAGCTATGTCAACATGGAACTGGCCTTCATTCTGATGATATTTTGGTGAACAACACAAATGTTGTTTGATATCATTTTCATTTTATGATGAAAATGGCATCATTTTTGTCAGAAGTTGTGTTTTTCATCAAGAAAGGTAGCACATTACTGAAATTTTCCTCTAAAAAGGTACTAGTTACTGCTTCTGATACTGTTCCCTATAAAGTAACTTGTTACTGCTAAAATTTCTGTAAATATTGTTAGTTACTGTTAGGCATTACTTTGACTATTACTGCTCAACAGTGCCAATGTTTTGAATTAAATTGTAAGGAATAAGCTTTTCCATAGAATGCCATGGTAATTCATAATGTCTTTCAGAACTGCAGCATAAATGTTGAACATATCTCATTCAACAATGTCTGTTAAAAATTCAGTTTGGTCATGGTAAGAGCTAAACCAAATCTATGGAACAGGCAGGACTACATTAACAAAGAACAAGTGGGAGAGATATGCAAGCAGAAACAAGTGAGTCATGAGGGATAGGCCAGGGAGGAAAATACCATTGCTCATCCCAATGTGACTTTTTCAGTGTACAGTGTCACAAACAAGCTGCCTCCTGCTTTTGGCTTATTTTTTAGATTGCAGTCAGGCTAATCCTGATTTGCCTGCTCTACTGCTTTTCAAAAGGAGCATTTAACAAGTTGACCACCATGGGGCGCACCAGTGCACCTCACTAAGTTCCTTTTCCTGTGCCATGGGGTGCACTGGAGCTTCACCTTCTCCAAGGGATGTAAAATTTATTTTGGCCCAGGAGAGTCACCAGGCCAATATGGCTGTGGCGGTCAACGTGTTATAAGGTTGAGGATAAAGAATTTTCATTTCTGGCCAGAACTCATGATGTAATGGAAGTCTGAATGTTTTAGCCACGAATGCTACTGTGATTTCAGAATACCATACATTTAGATAAATTATACTTTTTATTGCTACTATTGAGTTTTTATTTGTACATTTAAAAATATGTTCTATAAATTGCTTGAGTGAGGGAGTGCAATTTGTTGTCCTGTGGATAGAATGCCTATATTAATTTATTGGTTTTATGGCATTGATGGCACTGGCCACAGCCACCAAATGAGATTTCCTTGTTTAAACATGAACTAGGTGTGTTATTTACAAGGAGCATTTATTCATGTGTTTAAAATACTTTGAACTTGTTTTCAGGCATTTCCACTGAGTGCTACTACCCTCCACTTTGAGTTCTACTCTGAAGCTCCCTCAAACGTTGGGAATGCCCGAGAAAAGAAATTGCGGCAGAGTGTGATCTCAGTTGTTCACATGGACCATGTTGACCAGTGTGGAAAATCCTCGGCTGAAATTATGGAAGATCTCCTTGCAAGTTACAATGTCCCTGAGGATAAGCTGGTATGTTTGTTTCCAGAGAATTCTTAAGATGTGGATAGATTGAAGGTTCATCTGTGAAGTCAGGGAGCTATGTGATAACTGAAACAACTTTTCAACTCATAGATGATGCTGTTCACCTATGTGAGGTTGGCACATGACTTTCCTGACTATCGCCGGAGGTTGCAGTGTGTTCAAGCTCGACTCCAGGCTCTCTCCATCCTTGTGTATTCAAATGCTGTTCAGGAAAATGCCAATTCCCTTCTTTATAATGGCCTTCTGGAAGAGATGGTTGAAGTCCTTGCACTCAAGGATAAAGACATACTTGTGAGTATATTGGTTTTTTTTTACCATTACCATCCATTTCAAAATGAGTAAATAAAGGTTTTTTTTTTATTACTCTCTAGGTAAGGAGGTTTCATTATCTGTGAAATTCTTTGGAAGAATTGGTTTTGTTCATGCCTAAACCATTATTTTTATTTGCATCATTCTTTTAAGAGCATGCTAAGTTATTTACCTGATCATTTATGACAATATTATGAAATATGACATGAAATGAGCATCATTCCATGTTGATTGGGTGGTTATAGCAATTTCTTTCCATTGCAGGCAAGAAGGACCAAATACAGCATTTCCTGTGCAAAGACTTTCATAGAAGTGAGTGTAGAATTCAAGGAGAATTTAGGACTTATGTATTTTTTGGATCAGTACCACTAAGGGAAGTTCTTGTTGGCTCTTATTTGTTAAAGGAAATTAAGGCAGCTGCTCTGAGGACATTGACCTCTATCATCCATCTAGATCGCAGCTTCCCAAAGTAAGTACTATGATAATGGAAAATTGGTCTCTTGGATTGAGGCATGAAACTTGTTGATGCTTAAAAATTGATATCCAATCCTGTTTCCAGACTGACCACAATCATTGATGTCACAGAGGCCTCTGCGTACCATGGATTTCTTCCAGTGTTAGTGAGGTCCTGCATTGCCTCCCTAACTGGCAGTCCCGGTTGTGAAAGTGGCCGCTTCCCACTTCCTTTTGCCACTGCACTCTTCAGCTTTCTGTATCACTTGGCCAGCTATGAGGCAGGTGGGGAAGCCCTGGTCTCAGCTGGCATGATGGAAAGTCTTCTTCAGGTTGTGCATTGGCAAGGCTCTGACCCAGAACAGATCACAGTGAGTCCTATCTTCTGGCTGGAGCAAAAAAGACACCTCACTTCCCAGCATGGGTCTGATCAGTGCTATAATGGATGTGGTCTCTTTTCAGTTTGTGACTCGGGCCGTGCGTGTGATAGACTTGATCACCAATCTTGACATGCAGTCTTTTCAAACTCATCAGGGGCTTTCAACTTTCATCAATAGATTAGAAGTGAGCTGCTGTGTCTTGTGTGAATCCCATAACACTTTAAAAAAAATATGTACTCAAGTTTGCATTATCGATTCATTTGCAGTTGGAGGTGAATGCATGTAGGAAAGATCAACCATTCGTAATTAGACCAAAAAGCCGAGGTCGGGATTCCTTGTCATATGATATGGGAGGTGGGGAAGCTATGGGTCCTACATCTCCTGCTCAGGGATCCATCGAGGATGCACCTCGAGAAGGATCTTCTCGTGATATTGGTATGATTCATCCTAACCCAGTGCAAAGGTGTTTTTATTGAAAATGTTTCCTTGATATGATATATCTTCTTTCTTACTTTTCTTACTTTCTAGAAGAAATGGAGGTTGATTCATCGAGGCCAAATGTTGAGGAATCATCTTTCACATTTCTTGATCCTGAAGTGTACAGGCAGGCTGTAAAACCAGGTAAAATTAGGATTGATTATATTGGAGCAGATGTGTGGTGTTAGATAGTGAAGGGCTCATATGGGATGACTTGTTATTATTCCAGGCTTGACATGCCTTCCTCAGAGAGCTGCCCTCCTCAAATCTATGTTAAACTTCCTGAAGAAGGCAATTCAAGATCCAGCTTTCTCAGATTCTATCCGGCATGGTCAGTTATGTTGTCTCAAGTGCAAATTGACTGCATAAAAAATAATCATAATTAGCACATTTCATTTTCATCATGCATGTTTCTTGATCTTTATTGCATTGTATTTCCAGTGATGGAGGGGTCGCTACCCAGTTCTTTGAAGCACATCATCAGCAATGCTGAATATTATGGGTCTTCACTGTTCCTTCTTGGTTAGTTCAGTGCCTTTTTTTAATTGGGAGGGAGAAGGACAGACAGTTTTCAAATTGGATTTCCTCCTAACAGCAACAGATGTGGTGACAGTATACGTGTTCCAAGAACCTTCTCTCCTGTCATCTTTGCAAGATAGTGGCCTCACAGATGTTGTCCTCCAAGCCCTCCTCATCAAAGATGTGCCTGCAACAAGAGAGGTTTTAGCCTCACTCCCCAATGTCTTCAGTGCCCTTTGCCTCAATGCCCGAGGCCTAGCTGCCTTTGTAGCTTGCAAACCATTTGAAAAGCTGTTTCAAGTAAGTTTCTCTTGCTAAGGAATTTTACCTTAGAGCTTGCATGTTCTAATGTGATGGATTTTGGTTTTGTAGGTTTTGCTATCTCCAGCATACCTGGGTGCCATGCGCAGGCGACGTAGTTCAGATCCCATGAGTGATACTGCTGCAAATCTTGGAAATGCCATGGATGAACTTATGAGGCATCAGCCTAGTCTGAAAGCAGATGCCACAGCTGCTATTATCAAGGTTTTGTTCTCTCTCATTTATTTGGTCTTGATGTGCCCCTGGGATTGCACATAGTCACCTATTTCCTTTATCTTTGATGGTTGCAGCTTTTACAAGAGCTGGCAAACTTGGGACGTGATTCACGATATGTCTGTTGCAAACCTCAGGGACGCCCAGAACCAACTACATTTCAGAGAAATCCTCTTTGCCACTCCAGTCAGTGATTTCAATTACAGCCTTGTTTGAAGCCTTTCCCTTGGCTTTTGGAGGCAGTGATCATTGAGTCTGTGTGTCTTTGCATGAGCTCATTTATGTTCCTTCATCATAGATGGGCCAAGTGGTGGAGGGAATGAAGGAGGAAGCAGTGATGAAGAGGAGGAGGAGGAAGAAGAAGCAAGCACAGGTGGTCAGACAGGAACACAAAGCACAAGTCAGCAGCCAGACCCTGTCCCTCCTCAGTCAACACAACCAGCTGTATCACAAGAAGAAAAACAACAGGTTCCCCTTGTGGATTACATTCACAATGTGGTTTGTTCCTCATCCTTTCTTCATCTTCATTCAGACAATTGTTGTCCAACATTTGAGACATTTGACTGGTTTGCAGATGAAATTCTTGGATGCAATTTTGACAAATAATTCCACGGATGACCACTGTCGGGAATTTGTAAACCAGGAAGGTCTCACTCCACTCCTTTCCATCTTGGGATTGCCCAATCTTCCAATTGACTTCCCAGTTGGACCAGCCTGTCACTCAGTTGCAGCTGTTGCCAAGTCCATCCTAGTGAGTCATGCCTGTATCCCTGCTGCTGATTCTGCTTCTATTAAATCTAAAATAAAACTATATTTCTTGATGTTCTTACAGAATTTAGCCCATGAGCCTCAAGTATTGAAGGAGGGGATGAATCAGCTGGACTCCATTCTGAACGATCTGGAACCTCTCCTGAAGGTCTTGCCCTCTCCAGGAGGATCTGTTCTCCTTCATGAATTATCATCTTCACACAACCCAAGCTCTGGGATCGCAGAGGCTGAATCCACACCTCTGATTCATGCACTATCTGCTGTACACTCTTACGTCATGATGTTCATCCATGTCTGTCGGACTGGACAGGTAATATGCTTGGCATTCAAATTGGTGGTGATGTCAGGAAAGTTTTCACTGGGTGAAGACATAGGATGAAACTTTGTCATGAACCATCCATTTTTATGTCTTCATTGAATGAAAGCTGCTTCTTAACTGGTTTTGTACTTGAATTAGTTTGAATAGCCAATGTACTAGGTAAAGCTGCAAAAGTTATGTTGTCAAAGTGGATATTAGTTGCTTTAGGAGAGGGTAAGATGACTTATTTGTAAATCAAAAAGCCTTTAATTCATTATGTGACTTTGAATGATTTTATCATCCTTTTAAAAGTATACTGTTGAGACTCAAGGGCTTTTCAGGGTACAGCAGATTGAATATCCTGGATTGCAACATTAAAATGTGTGTTAACCTGTAGCATTTATCAGGACTTAGTCAAATCATATAAAATGAAACTCATATGACATGAATGAGGGAAAAGAGCCTGGATAATTCTGATAAATTTCTTTTATTTCCCAATAATTTCTTCACTGATGAGGCAAAAGCAATATAGTTCTCCCATCTTACTCTGTTCACAAATCCTACCAAATGCATGTTCACCCATATTCACACCCCCCCCCCCTTACTTGACCCCAAACTAGGCTTTAAAAAATCCCTTGTGAACCTGCAAACAAGGTTTGCGGAAATGGAGGTGTGCGGGCAGGTGGCCCACTTAGTCCTCTTGCATACCCTTTCTGGGAAATTCCAGTATGTTGCTTCGGGTTCACAGGAAAAAATTTTTTTTTTCCTACACTGCCCCTAACTCTAACTTATGAACTCATCTCCTCATTCCCTAGTGGTTTTTTTCCTTTCTTGATAGGGAAAAATTTGGTACTGGCATTGTCCTCTATGCACGAGAACACCAGAATTCTTTTGTTGTGACCATCATTTTAATTTAACTGATATTGTTACATCAAAACATTTTAATGTGGGTGTAGATTGGCATTCAAATGCCTTTAACTGGTTTTTCCAAAAAAATCTGTTTTCATTTTAATAAGAAACAATGGTGGGTTATGGATTCTAGGGCCCTCATCTTATCCTTGGCCTTAACATTGACTATAATAAAGTGCATATGATGACCCTTCAAGAAATTGCCACCATTTAGGGTGCAAGTATTCTTTGATTGTTAGAAATTTAGCAGTGGAAAAAAGTGAAATTTCTCTGAGGGGAATCTGCCATTGTGACTAGACATACTCTCAGATTTTCCTGTACACTGATATAATGAAAACCTGGTTATACTGAAATCCTTGATGTTGCCCGTTTGAGTGTCCATAGACACCTATGTTAAAAAATTAGGATGTAACAAAATTGAATATAAAGAAATTTTCAATATAATGAAAGAATTTTCTGTCCTCAGAGTAAAAGTATGCAGAATATAATGAATTTCCACTGTCCAGAAAGAAAAGTATTTGTTTTTCCCTCTTGAAGGAAGTGCAAAAGGGTCAGACTTTATCCCTCTATTCAGCCCTTCACCTTGGTCTTCAGCTGCACTGCCTTTGAGAACCAAGGATTTGGCACGTGCAGAATGTGTGTGATAAGGAGAATGTTAATGTGGGTGAATGCACATGTGGTAGGGGATGTGAACATAGGCAATTCGTTGCTCACACTCAGCAGCTTTTTGCTGGGCTCCTTTGCTCCATTCATCCCATGCAAGTTCCATTTTACATGGCAGAGGCTTAAACACATTTAACCCTTTCACTGCATAATTGATTTTGGCACACAGCCAATGGCAATGTTACAGGAAGCAACTGAAGTTGCTTTTCACATTGTAAGGGTTAAGACATCAGCTGCTGTTTTCCTATGCTTTTAACCCACGTGACCCACCAGCAGATATGAGGGAGAGAAGGTGGTAATAGTACTGTCATCCATGTAACCTTCAAAAGCAGTCAGGCTCCCATAGTTTACCCATGAGATAATAATCATGTGTACACAGGCGTAATGGGATTCAGTTCTCTAATTGGAGATAAACAACTCTCCTAATATAGCGAAAACCCAATATCACAAAGTAATTCCAGCTGCTTTGTCAACTTCATTATAACAAGAGTCGACTGTACATGATTGACTTTGCATGCTCCCCTTAAGTTTAATTATAACTGTGTTTATTTCCCGAATAGACGGAGATTCGCCAGATGTCTGTGAATCATTGGGGTTCAGATATGGGTCTTGCTATTCTGGAAAAGCTAAGTCGTCTCCACCCAGTCCTCATTTGGGAATCCACTGTGCTATTGGCACTCTGCAGTGAAGATGTCCTCCCAGCTGATTGTCAGTTTGGGAAAGCAGATCTTGAAAAACTTCTTCCTCACAACTTAGGGGTATGTTGGCTGACTTTCCACTCAATTCTTTGTGTGTGAGGTACTGGCAATACCATTCTCTTGCTGCATTCCATTGGGATCAGGAAAAAGAGAACACATTGACTCATGCTGCTGGTGATCTTGGGAGTAATGGAGTTGCATCTGCCATGGAACAGTTGACAACAGAACCGGGTAATAGCATGGATGTTGATGAGGAAAAAGATAAGGAGAAAATGTCTCCGAAACTTCAGCACCAAGTGAAGCTGATACGACCTGTGCTTGGCTGTGTCTCCCGCCTTGGCCGAGCTCTCACAGAGCTTTTTGGTCTTCTGGTGAAGGTGAAGATTTTTAAAACTCTTGCTTTCTTCGTGCTATTGTATCATTCAATGGTATTGATTTCGGATTTTTTAAATGGGAAATGATGTGAAATTTCAGCTGTGTGTGGGATCTCCATTGCGGCATCCTAGACGAGGACAGCCACCCACTGTCCCACCAACAATGCCTTCCCCAGCTGCCCGCAAGGTAGCCCATGCTCTTACAGACATGTTGAAGCAGAGCCTAATATATCAACCTCCACCAACAACACCCTTGCCCAGATTCAGGTTGGTGGTTATTAACCATATGTTCCTCTTGCAATATGTGTCTTGCATTTTCCATTGATCTTCCTGTTAGGCTTACCTTCTACATCTGTGCTGTTGGATTCACGGCTCCAATGCTTTTTGACGAGAAGAGGTCCCCATATCACCTAATGCTGAGGGAATTTCTCAATCATGGCGCTATGGAGGCATTCTTTGAGTAAGCTCAACTGTTCCCACTCACATTTCAGCATTACAATCTTTACATGTGCTCAATAACTTTTGTTTTATTTTCAGCACATTCTATCTAGCACTGTCAGGTTGCAAAGAAGCAGCAGTGCGAAAGAATAGCAGTGGTGTCTTTGAACTGCCCAGTGATATTGAGTTGTCAGACCTGCCATCTGGCACTGGAGAATTCCTGGATGTTTGGCTTCTACTCCTTGAGAAGTTGGTCAATCCCAAGTTAATCCTTGAGTCGCCACATGTTCTCCCGTCCAAGGCAATTGTACCTGGGTTCAAACCATTTGACCCTATTCAGTACTTGATGCATATTCATAAGGTGAGTGGAACCAAATATATTGCAATTTTCACAGTTTACTGCCATTGCATAACTGTATCTCTTGTTCTAAACCTCAGATAGAGCCTTATGAAGATTTAATGGTTTAGGATATGAATATTTCATTATTATCAAGCATATGGTGATGGAAATGTGGTAGACTTCAACAAAGAAAAAATTTTGCTTTTTCAGGAGGCTTTTGCAGCCATTATGACTTTGTGGCAGAAGAAACCCTTGAAACATGGTCACATTTCAGAATCCATGCTTGCAGTCTTATGTCACATTCTTCGTGGTGAATCCATCATTCAGGTGAGGCCTATTTGTTTCTTTATTTTTGCAAGTGGGATGTCCAGTCATTGGCTGGATCAGTCAGTGGCCTGATTGCTAATTACCATTTTTGGCTCAAGGGTCTTAGCTTGGTATCAAAGCTTGTATCAATATTTTTGCATGTGTACATTGTTAAAAATGAATCATTGGAGTTTGTACATTTATGTGATTGGTCATGGTTCCTCTTGCTCATGGTTATGTGATAGTCCATGTAACTTGGAAGTTGGTTTATTCTGGAGTCCTGTTTTTTTATAGTTGATACATATTGCCTTGTCATCCATCAAGACATATGAGTTAGTGATGTATAATTGATGAGTTTGCTGGGAATAGACCAGTAAAAAATAAACTATTAGAAGCCTGACTTTCTGATGACCCGAATCCAAATGCAACCCTCATGAAGAAAAATCTTGCCTAATCCATTTGAATCAATGGGTATTCTGGTGCTGTTGTCAATAATGGGAAATGTAGGAGGGAGAACTCAAATATGATCTAATCACATTTTGATATTCAATTTCAACCTAATTGCAATTTCTAATTTTCAGCTCCAGATTCCTCATATAGTAGCACTAACAACTGTCATTGAGCAAGATATTGCACATCTTTATTGCAAAGGGAAAAATTGTCCTTGTCCATTTGAGAACTTGAAATAAACAAAGTCCTGATGCCATAAACTGCATGAAAGACTTGGTACATGGTACTGAATCAGCATAACCTCTGTTTGTCTCTATGAGATGGAGCCAAATTAGCCACTGATACTGGTCCTCTGACTTCTTGGTACATGCACAATTCCATGCAGCAGTTGGATAACTGTCTTCAATTTTTTGTCTTTCTCAGAAGAGACTGAAGAAAGACAAGAAAGAAGACAATGGGGAGACCAGTGAAGGGGCTGATGGAACTTCAACTTCTACTGAGAATGGGAGTCGAGTGCCTGCAAGCACAGCTGTTGAATCTGATGGAGTGAATGGTGCCCATTTGCAGCAGCTCGTGGATATGGGATTCTCAAGGGAAGCTTCTGTTGAGGCCCTTGTCAACTCTCACTCTTTGGAACAGGCAACAGAGTACCTTATAAGTTCCTCAGGTGATCTCTTCACAATGGGAAATGAATCTTTGACTGAAGATGACCAAGTGATGCAGGCCATAGCCATGTCACTAAGGGAAGATGTTCCATTGGAGGTGGAGAAGCTTGCCACCTCAGGGAATGAAGGAGCCCCCACCAAGAAGAAAATTTCTGTTGAAAGGACGATGCTGAACAAGAGGGAACTAGACTCATTCACAGAGGGTATCTTGGCTTGCTGTCTTCGTCTTCTGGACCATCAACCACAGACTGTTTATCATGTCTGTGAGCTCATCAACACCATTGTGACCAGGAATGGAGATGCATGGAGAGACAGAGTCTTGTCTGCACTTGTGTATGAAATTTCATCTTTAGTCGTTCATCTTGTTGCTGGAGCTTCGTCTGATGACCCTGAAGAAGCTCACAGGCAACTGACCAAGTCTCCAATAGCATCCAAGGCTGCTGTTTCCATTCACCTCTTCACTCTCTTGTTTGAGAAGATGCGCATCCCCTGTGCTCGGCTTCTGGAGGAAGGAGACCTCCTGAGTCCTATTATCACCCTGTTAATGGAAGCAGGAGAGACATTAGTAAGTAGTCGAACCCCTCTGGCGACTCCATCAGCCAGCTGGAGCAATCTTCTTTCATCTCCCCCTGGAGAAGAACCAACCCCAAAGTGGTTGGCTCCTCTGCTCCTTCTGTTAGATCTATATGAAAAAGTTTCTCTTGCTACACGAAGGAGAGCTGCCCTCCAGAAGGTTGCATCCCGCAACTGGAAGTGGTTTGATGTGGGATCTGCCAAGTGGTGTCCTTACTCTGCACCCAATAACAAGACCATTGATGATGCATTCTGGGCAGGGGAATCTAGTGTCAGGGTCATTGCTGGACGAAGACGCTACACTGTTCAGTTTGGCAATATGATTCAGATCAATGAAGAAACGGGCAATCGCCGGCCAGTCATGATCTGCCTGAAGGAGAATGAGAAGGAAGATAAGGTGAAAGAAGCAGAGAAAATGGAAGTGGAAGAGAAAGGTGTATCAACAAGTGTATCCAGCTCAAACACTGAGACCAACACAGAATCCCCCCCAAAGACATACATTGTACGTGGCTTCACTGAAGCCCAAATGGAAGCTATCTTGAAGGCATGTGTATCCTTGATGAATCTACCAGTGGATGCAGATTCCCTTCATGCACTGATGCGTCTGTGCCTGCGACTCACACGCTCCCATAATCTTGCCTTGTTGTTTGCTGAGCTGGGGGGTATCCGACTCCTCTTGCATCTCAGTCGAGACTCCTTCTTTGTTGGTTTCTCTTCTCTCGCCACCCTTTTGATTCGCCATGTTCTTGAGGAACCTTCCACACTGAAGCTAGCTATGGAAAAGGTCATTCGATCGAGTGTAGCCAATGCCACCATGATAGAATTTCACTACATCCTTCGATCTCTTGCTCCTGCTGCATGCCGAGATCCTGAACTCTTCACAGAAGTGGCTCGCAAGTGTCTCAGAGTGGATTTAGCTGCAATAGCCAAACGAAATGAGGATGAGGAAACAAGGTTGCTGATCAAGACCATTCCCAGTGGAATGCCACAGCCAGCTCAGACTTCAATTGAGGGAGCTGCTGCTCAAGTGGTGTGTGATCTCCTAGATGCTCTTGCTATCAAGGTCCCCGAACCTGCCTCTCCAGCAGAGAGTCAGTTTTTATTCTTTTTTTTCTTTGATTCAGTCAGTCATGTTTGATAAATTTAATGAGACTCACATTTATCATGCAGAAGAGGAATTGGGTACTCCAAAGCCTACTGTGACAAGTGGGAGCTCTGGTGTTTCTGCCTCTACATCTGATGGTAGTCTGCTGGATGTCACTCAGAGTCTCACATCTTCCTCTATCCTTCAGCCTGAGATCATTGTTTCTGCTGTGAGCATTGGAAATGCTGAGTGGGCTTTTACATGTTATATTTTTAAAATTGGGATTCTGTATTGAAACATGTCTTAGGCGGGGCTTGGTGAGGAGACAACATCCAATGGTCCAGTATTATCAGAATCCCAAGACAAAGAAAAGAACCAAGAGAAAGAGGACAAGAGGCATCTGCCTCTTCTACCTCGACATGTTATCTGCCAGATTCTTGCAGAGCTCATTCGCTCCTACTCTTCTTGTGCAAAACTAGTGGCTGAATACACCCTTCGAGGTGGTATCAGTGAGCTTGTTCCTGAGGTATGCCAATGACTTGTATCCAAAGCTGGGCAAGTTGTGATTACTGTAGATTATGGTGATTTATCAAACATGACTCTCTTTCAACAGGATTGCACCGTGCTGTCATTTATCTTGGATCAGCTTCAACCCCCCTCTGAGACCCCAACTGTAGGCAACAAACAAGGAGGAACTGGTCAGCTATCAAGTGACAGGGACTCTGCTGCACACGCCCGAGTATTCCTGGCATCCCTAGCTTCATGCAACTCAGTCCCTGAAGCCCAGGCAAGTCTTGTTATGGAAGTGAAAAGCGCCCTGAATCGTGCCCTCAGTCTGCCTGAATCCGAAGAGAAACATTCTCGCATCCAAGCTCTTTCTTCCCTCGTCTCCCTGATGATTGAATCTTGTCCTTCAACTCCAACACCAAATCAGGGTCCCAACAATAACAATCCTGCTGCAAAGCAGCACACAGTTGGGTGAGTGCTATTTTTCACGACTCATTCACTTGTCCATATTATATGATCCCTTGTGAAAATGTCTATTGATCATTCCAGGATGAATCCAATTGTGAGACTAGTGTTGAAGAAAGGCCTAGTCATGGATCTTGCTCGAATCCCCCATAGCCTGGATCTTTCCTCACCTCATCTCCCTATGACTGTGAACACCATGCTCAAACCCCTTGACACTCTGTCTAGGATCATCAACCTACCCCAGGCAATGATTCCTTCTACGCGTTCAGGCAGTAAGCCCAAAACTGCAGGTGAGGGAGGAATGGAATCTGCTGCCACTGAGGAGGCCCCCAGTGCCCCAACAGGTACTAATACATTCCTTGAGCATAGTTATCCTTTTCTCCATCCTAGGGACATTTTGATGTGTGATCCCATAACCTTGGCTGGGTTGTTTCAGGAACAAGTACATCCGAAGCAGCAACGCATGCCCAAGGGGAAGAAATAGTTGGGGACACAGACAATACCGAACATGATCTGTCTGCTGCAACAGAAAGTCTGGATCCAATCTCAGTGTCAGAGGGTCATGTCCCTGAAACCAATGATCTAGATGACATTATTCATGTCCTTCTAGACAGGTGTGTTGAATCTCTGTAATTTACATTTTAATCTTCACCTCTGCATAAATACTAAGTAAGGGAATGTCCTCATTCAGGGATCGTGGAAACCCTGAAAACCAGATCCTAGCTGAGACATTGATGGAAGCTACTGAAGGAAGCATTCATGATCATCATGGGGAGTCTCTTCATGATTCCCAGATGCTGACTCAGAGTGAGAGTCTCTTTGAAAGTGACAGACAAGTAAGTGTGTGTTTGATTTTACACAGGATATTGCATGAGAAGGTGTTTTCAAAAGAGTGTCTTTTTCCTCATGTTTAGGAGGAAGAAGAGGATGAGAACGAGGGCTCAAGTCATTCCAGTGGAAGTGAAGGAGAAGAAAGATCTGAGAATGATGAAGAGCGTGATGATGTGGAAGAGGAGGAAGAAGATGATGATGATGATGACGACGACGATGATGATGATGGTGATGAGACTGAAACAGAGGGAGAAGATGGTCTGTAAATTCTTATAATTCTTGGAATGTTCATGTTGCCTCTGAGGGAATGAAAGTGAAGAAACAATTGGAAATTTTCTTTCAGATGAAGAGGACTTCTTGAATGTGACATTCATTGGTGAAGGGCAACAAGAAGCAAGAGATGATGACTGGCGCCATGCAGTGCGGGATCTGACGGATGACCTCTTTTCCTTGCCAAACCTTCAGGGAGATTCAGATGGGGATGACATCTGGATGATTCATTATTCAGATCTCTTGATGCCTTCAGCAGAGACTTCTCGATCTATGCGATCTTTTCCAATGCCTCATTGGATCTCCAACTACCTATCCTCTGGTGTGGACAACAGTCAAGGTGGGGTTGGGTAGCTGAGAGCATTGCTGGGATGCACTGTACTTTTATCTGGCCAGTACTAGTAACAGTTCTAATTGTGTCATTCCAGAAGTAACTGATTGATATGTACAGCAATAGATGAATGATTACTTTCTTCATACTGTAAAAAAAAATAGTCACAAATGGAATGGAATCTCATTGGTCACAACATATCTGACTTCTCCTCTGTTCATTATGCTTTTATAAACCTTTTGTTCTGGACTTATAAGTTGATTCTTGGTACCTCTTTCTACAATGGAGTTTTGCTGTGATTTATTGATTTGATGGCATCCTTACTTCTTTACTTCAGTGTGAGACTCAAATCTTTTAGAGCTAATTGCAGGAAATTTAGCAACAGCACAGGGATCATCTTGGAATTTTGTTAAAACTGCCATACATTTTAAGGTTCTACTTTCAGAAATATCTGAATTTGACTTTTTATTATATTCACATGTAATCAATCTGCATTCTTTTGAAACGATAAACTCATAATTTAATCAATTAATTTTCAGGCTCTTTTAAAATCCAAATTAATAATCAGCTTAATTAGAATAATCGGGATCAATCTTTGGGATACTAAACCCATTTCAAGTTGAGTCAATCAAATTTCTAACCAAATGGAATATTTCAAATTTCAAATCAAAATCTTTTATTTATTTCTTATAAATCTTCTGTTGTGACCAGAAAATAAAGTAAACATGAAGCCATTTGTTCTTAAATTCTATGCTTCTTGAAGAATAGTTGGCTGAGCAGGTACACTGGTGGGAAGAGGATGGGACATGTGCAATACTCCTGTAGTTCAGATGCAATACTGATTCAATGCAGGTTTTGTCCAACATCCAAAGAGAAGAAAATTTTTTTAAAGATTTGCCAAGAAAAAAGATTTTAAACTTTATATGCTCACATAAGGATCTCATGCCAAATTTGGATCATTCACATCTGGATTGAACCAGTCATTATTAGGAGTCAAAATTGGAATCATAAGGCAAATCTCACATTAAAAAATAATTCACTGCTCGTCAAATTCCAGGTTAGATTGAGCCTTCTCTGCTTTGTTTCTCATATGTCCTACTTAAAGAATGGAGGCAACTGCCAGAATGAAGCCTGGTCTAATTTTTCTCCACCATTGAAATTAGCTTCATCTATCTTCCATAGAAAATGAATGGAGCCTTTACTTTGAAACACCCTGTATATCTATATACTAGGTGAAATAAAATGGACCTGATTTTCACAAATTTTTTCTCAAAGCTCATGCTAGCCTTGTGTCTTTTGCACACTTTTAAGGAAAATATTCAAGTATTTCAAAAGTTTTTATAAAGTTGCTTTTATTATTTATTCAGTATTGTCAACTCATTAACCTAGACTTCAGAGGACTAGTGGTATTACTTGGATTATTGGCTAGTTTGGATCATGAAGTACCTGACCAAGTGACCATTTATCTTTTTTCTTGGCAAAAAAAACTTGACTCTCAGCATACTGCAAAAATCCTTTATTCAGTTTTTCCCCCATGTGAATGGGAATCAATGTCTCAGTTTTTTCAACTAGTCACATCCCATCATTGTTCTCATCATTGGCCTTGGTTTCCTGATAAATGTGAGGATGCCTTTATTCTCCATTTGAACACTAAATCTTAATCTGCTTCTTGACCATATTTTTTATTTATTTATGATTTTTCACGTTTGCACAAATTTTCATTAAATCAGTGTTGAAAAATGGCAACACTCAAAAGATACCCTATTCAAACCAGTAACTTCTGCTGACAGGGTTCTCTCCTTCGTTTATGATAGACCCATTGTTGCCCTATTCAGAAAGTTTAAATATCAATGGGACTGTTACCTGATGTTCTTCAGGAATATCTTTCAGCTGTTGAAGCAGCCAGAATAGATTCATTCTTCATGACGTGCACCCTCTCAAGGCTTGCTCAGTCAGAAACTCCTTGATGAAATTGGAGGGAAGTGAAAGTTAATCCATTTGCTTCCTCCCTTAGCCCCTAGAAATTTGCACCTGAGTGTGTGTATGAACATGACTTCTAAAAGTGAAAACTTGACAAGGGGTTAACAAAGTTTCTGACTTCACAAGTTTTGTGACTTATGAGGACACATTGCCATGATGGAGCTTGAAACTGAAGGATGAATTTGTTCTTGCAGCTGGAAGCATGTGCTTGGTGAAAGACACCAGGTAGCAGTCCTCACACCATTTTGAACAGAACTTTGTCAACAGTAGCATTAGGTCAAAATAGGGGATCACTTGAAATGTTGCCATTTTACAGCTGTGTCAACTGATTTTGCAAGAATCTGTGAAAATTTATATTGAAAGAAAGTGATGGTCATGGGGTAGATTAAGATTCACTGTTCAGTTAGAGACTACATTTGATGTAACTCAATGAAACTAATCAGTGAAGCAAGGCCCTCTAACTGCAAATACATGCAATTGTAGCACAAGCCTTTTTTTTTGTTTTGAATGATGATCCTCATATGCTCTGTGCATAGGTGGTGGGACTGGTGTTGCACCTCCTGTAACTCACCCTTTGCTGATGGTCCGCACCCCAGTGGTTGATAGCGGACCCCAGACTACAGGCAACAGCATCCGATCTCACCGAGCAGGAGGACGTGGTCGATATCGCTACATTCACATCAATTCCTCTCTCTCAAACCCCTCAGCAATCATTAGGAGGTAGGGTTTGTTCCAATTTTTCCTAATGTAATGTGAATACTACTCTAAGGATACTTAAAGAAGATTTTCAACAGGGTCCTGGGTCCCAGTGCAGCCCAAGATGTTCTGCATCTTGCAACAAATCCTTCTTTGTCATCTGGATTACGAGAAACCCGTTTCCTGCTGGGAGATGCCAATGAGATGCGTCTTTTGGCTGGGCCTGATGATGCTTGCATTGAATTTGAATTTGGCTCTGGGGTTTGTACATTCACTTTTTCTCAACTCTGTTTTGCCTCTTCACATCACATCATATCTTCTTTTTTTTTCCCCTTTCCTTTTATCTTCTTAGGGTGATGGAGGAGCTGGTGGAGGATCTAATCCCAGTTTGACATCCATACCTGGGGCCCTGACACGATGGACAGAAGAATCCCGAGTCATTGATGCTGAATCTCTGCATGACTGCATTACTGGGTTGAAGCCAAGTATTTTGGAAGTTGTAGAGAAAGAACGGGAGAAAGAGTTGATAGAAAAAAGGGAGCTGAAGAAGAAAGAAGATGAGGAGGCAAAGAAGAAGGCAAAGGAATCAGGAGAGGATGAAGACAAGAAAGACAGTGACTCAGAGGGGAAAGAAAAAGATAAGGATGGTATGCAAGTCTTTTTTTTTGCTTTCCCTTTTCCTATAGGGAGTGGAGTAGAAAGTTGTAGTTGGATTTGTTACAGTGATGGAAGTGATGGTTACTGAAACACCTGTTTCAGTGGCACTAGCCACATCATCCCAATTCCCACCTTTGGTCCCACTTCACACACCACCATCTTCACTTGGAGGTCCTGGTGCAATGTTGCCGCTAGCTAATGCAGTGCCAGCCCAAATTGGTCCTGAAGGATATGTACCACTGCCAAGGACAGAGGACTTGTCCCATCAGAGTACTAGTGGCCTTATGTACCTCTTGGCTAATTTGAGTGATGAGCAGTTGGCCAATCAGAATCGTGAAAATCAGAACAGAGTCAGTGCAATGCAGAGTGAAGAGGTACCAGTCTCACGAGAGATGAGACAGAGTGAACTTAATGATGGGATTCTATCTGCTGTTGACTCACAAGAACAACAAAATCAACAACTAGGAGAACAGCAGCAGTCTCAGGAAGAGAGGTATTCCTGACTGTTTCAAATGATACAGGTGGGCTTATATTTTTCCCAATCTCAGATGACTAATGATATTTGGTCTGCTTTAGAAGAGAGGTGTGGAGTGTGGGGCCTGTTGAAATGAACTCCTTGATGACAAATTCAGTCCAAGACACTGGAGAGGAGCAGGGTGGTGATTATGTCATTGAATGCAGTACTCTTCCAACACAGAGATCTAGGTTTTGGAGAGCTCCTTTCATTTTGCCTGTTTTCTCAGGAGTCTTTTCAGTTGTAACACTGCTTCTTTTCTACTCCAGTGAACGGGACAGTGAAGAAGAGATCTTAACAGTGATGTCCAGCGTTCTGAATACCCCACCACTGCAATTGCGTGATGTTAGAGCCAGTCAAGCCCAACCTGAAACCCCCAGTACAAGTGCAGGTTCCCTTGAAACACCTGAAAGCAGTGATGTTGTCACTCGTCCCCCACCTGCAGAGTTTTCTGACATCCTTGGTGACATTGAAATTCCTGATGGGGTTGACCCATCATTTCTTGCTGCCTTGCCTGAGGACATGCGGCAGGAGGTCATCAATGATCAACTCAGGTGGGACAAAGTATCAATTTATAGACTGCTCAAAGTTTCATCAAATTTTCCCTTGGTTTAATGTTGGAGAAAGAGACAAGTGGAATCTAGTCACTCCATAGGAACTGGAATGCCCTGTCCTTTTTTTCCCAATTTCTTTCCAGTAAATCCTTATAGGCTTGCTTTGGCCAAACCTAATTGGAGGAAATTTAAAGGGTCTGTTTGAAACATGTATTATCTACACTGCAAGTTTTGTGGCAATAACAACAGTAAGAGCAGAATCATTGGTTAAAATTCTTTAATTTTGCCATACACTGTAGATGCCCTTGCTTGGATGCTGGAACAATCTTTTCCCTCAACAATTATTTCATAGGCTAGACATAGTATAGTGTCAGGGCTCACACAGCAGCTCAGGGCCAACCTGATGATTCCATGGACCCTGGCCACCTTTATCCAGACTCTTCCACCATCACTTAGACGAAGCATATGAATGGCGTAATCTTTTCAAGTGAAATACGAGGCTAGAGTCACCATTTGTTGGCAATTGATCTACTTGTGGTGCTAAAGACCCTCGAAGAATAATAGTTGAAGGGAATACTCCAGCTGAGGTTCTTTGATGTAGAATAATCCTCTGTCTGTTGTCACCTTCCCTTCAGACATTCTTACAGACATTTTCCCCCAACAATTATTTCACAGGCTAGACATAGTGTAGTGTCAGGGCCGATAGGTATACTCAATAGGGCTAATAAATGGATTGCTAATTGGATCACTTGCATTTCAGACTGCAGCGTTTACGCCAGAGAGCACAGGCTCAAACCCAGCCTCCTGCTCAAAGTTCTGAAGGGAGCAGTGCAGCTGTACCAGAAGTGAATCCAGAGTTCCTAGCTGCATTGCCCATTAACATTCAAGAGGAGATCCTGGCTCAACAGCGTCTTGAACAACAGCGGGCTCATGCAGCAGCTCAGGGCCAGCCTGATGATTCCATGGACCCTGCCACCTTTATCCAGACCCTTCCACCATCACTCAGACAAAGTGTATGAATTCCTTTCAATTGAAATACGAGGCTAGAGTCACCATTTGTTAGCAATTGATCTACTTGTGGTGCTAAAGACCCTCGAAGAATAATAGTTGAAGGGAATGCTCCGGCTGAGGTTCTTTGATATAGAATAATCCTCTGTCCGTTGTCACCTCCCCTTCAGACATTTTTACATTGAGTGAAGATAACTAGAATACCTCTATTTTGTCATGTTTGGTACATGTGCTTTTTTTTGTCATCCTAGGTGCTAGCTGACCTGGAGGATTCACAGTTGGGGGTTCTTCCACCTGACTTGGCCGCTGAAGCCCAGGTCCTTCGTAGGGAGTGGGAGGCAAGAAACCGTCAGCTGATGCATGATCGGATCTTCAGCCATTCATCCTCGGCTCTCTCATCCTTGCTGAGAAACACGAGTGAGATGTCCCTGAGGATTTTCATTTATTATCAACTTTAACAGGAATGTTGAGTGGATTTTGAATGAGTGTCTAACATGATTCGATCTGCCCTATTGAGCAGTGAGGCTGGGTCGGCGCATTGGGTCAAGACATGCAATACAGAACAGTTCTTCTCAGCAAGGAAATTGGCCCTTTTCTGAATACTCCCTGTTCCCTGTTCTTCATGGACAAGGACTAAGGCAAGCACTGATTCAGCTTATCAGACTTCTGGATTTACACAGTGCTAGAGCAAGTATTAAAGAAATAGAATACAAAATCTATTATGGAATTCCATGCTTTTCACAAAAACTCTCGTTAACTCTGGATTCAAGGGGCTTAGTGATATTGTTTGGATTACTGAAAACTTGTCTTGAGTTAGCCTTCATTTTCTCTGTTTTTTGTTTCCAGGAGGAAAACTGCCTCAGTCATAAAACTGTTATTGTTCTCTATGGTTCCATGTCTCGTAAACAATTGCTTACAAGTGTGGGAAGAATACAGCTGTCCCTTAAGTCTGGAACTATGGGTAGTGTCTTTCCTTTGTATTTCTGGTGATGTAAGTTGAAGCGATGGCACTACTGAAGGTGTGGAAGTTGAGGCTGTATCACAATTTACTTGTACTTTGGGTACAAGAGGCACTGCCAAGAGCCAAAAATTGAATAATTGTGAGTGTGTGCACATATTCCAATGTTTCCAGACTTAAGGGATATCCTGTATTGTGAGAAAATGAAGGGATGGATTTGACTTAACATAGACATTTATTTTTAAATCCCTCAAGTTTGGAGAATCTTGGATGGTAGGTTTGCTATGCATTAAACACACACCCATTGTTCTTTTTCTTGGAAGAGGAGTGAACTTTATTCCTCTCATGCTTATTCCTCTCAATTTAGTGGTTCTTGAGTTTGCTGATATGATATCCTACCTAGTTGTCTTGACTGTTTGGCATCTACTCTTCTCCTTGCTCTTCTCCCTAATTCCTGTTTTTTTCACCTCAGTCTGGAGGTCTCAAAATATCAAGTTTTATTTATTTTACCACAATGTGGTGGAAAATGATAAGGAGAATGGTGAAGTGCCTGTGGAACTCTCAGGAAAGGAAGGGATGAGAGGAGAGATACAGAAAGAAAAAACTCTTTTCCTCCTTTCCTCTCCCATTCACACCATCCAGCTTTTTGAAGACAAAAAAAAAATTTTTTCTCTGAAGTATTGGCTAAGTGAGAAAATTTCCTCTAGAGGCTCAAATGTTAGTCCAAAGTACAGCAATTCTAGGTTAATAATGTCCAAATCAACCAGACAATTTAATAATTAAATTTGAGATTTTAGTTTGGACCATGAAAATTTTCAACTTTCATTGGGATTACAGGCATTTGAATAAGCAAGAGTTTTCTGTACTCCTTGACAATCGATTAATAGCATGGTATGCATACATTTCTGAACTTTCTTTTGAATTCTCACTGGAAAGACCAACTTGATTGCATATTTCCAATTACTGGTTCTGATACTGTATACATCAGCAGCTATTGCATCTATCTGCATCAATTGGCAATTGAATGAATCCTTCGTGAAGCACATGCTCAGGTTTTTATTGATTTGTATTCCTTTTGTCTGTGTTCTAGTCGGCTGAGGAGTCGGCAGCTTCTCGATGGGGAATCTTTGTCTTGCCTCTTGGTTCTCCTGTTTTTGGATGAGCCAAGACTCAACACCAACCGCTTGCATCGAGTCCTTCGAAATCTCTGTTATCATGGCCCTACACGACAGTGGGTCATCAAGGTCAGCAAGTCTTGTCCATCCATTTGTAGAATGCATTCTTGACTTTTCATCCTATACTGGTATTCATGATCTACATTTTTTCAGAGCCTCCTATCCATCTTGGAGAGAAGTAATGAGGGTCGAAGCATTCTATCTCCAGATAATTCCAGTGTTGCAACACGTGCAAAGAAGCATACCAAGACTAGTGCAACAAGTGGCCAAACTGTTGATGTTGTTGTATCTCCTGCCCTTGTTCACAGGTTGTGGCATGATTTTACAGCATAGTTTTCATATAGTCTCACTGGAGATCATGGCATTAATACAATACATGTCTCTCATATAGGGTGGACTCAGGGAGGAACTATGGAACACCAGCATGGTTGAACATCAGCCTGGATGCAGCCCTTGGATGTCGAGCCAACGTATTCCAGGTTCACAAGCCAAGTCATTCCAACTCAGGAAAGAAAGGGGATAGAGCAAATCCTTACCCTGCTGTCTCTTTCACCCCTCCTTTCCAAGCCCCCTCTTCTCCTGCATCAACTGCTATCGCAATCCATCCTCAAGCTTCTCCAGTCATCTGCAGGTGAGATCATTCATTCAGATCCTCTCTTGGAAGTTTTGAAGACTAAAACAGGCTATACTCATGAATTTTTTTTGTTCTCCCATAGGCATGCCCTGGACACAATGATATTCCTTGCCAAGTTCTTCCCATCTCAGTTCCTACCAGCTCTGGAACCTGCAAATAAGGAAGGACCAGGGGAATCTTTAAGAAAGCCTTCAAGCAGTCAGGCTATGGTTGTGTCCAAACCCCGTGGATCAGAAGGAGACTTCTGGGAGATGATTCTACGCCTGGACAATCAAAGTGGATCACGTAAAGTTAAGGCTCTGAGTAAAGCCAGTCATGGTCCCCCAAAAGAAACATTTGAGGAAGAGGCCCTGGAAAATGTGTCCTTGGAGGCATCTCCATTGGGACAGCTCATCCTCATGCTTTCCCATCCTGTGATAAAGAGGAGTTCACTGCTCACGGACAAACTCCTACGTCTCCTTCGCACACTCTCCAGCAGTGTCCCACGTGTTCAAGGAAAGGAGACATCAGACAAGGAAAAGGAGAAGCAGATGAAGGTACCAGAATCCCTCCTTCGCCTCACAGTTGATGTCCTCACATCGAAGAGCTGCTCGGAAGAGGGCCTTGAGGACACCACTGCTCTCCTCCTCAATCTCTCCCACATTTCTCCCAGCACCCGTCAAGAAGTGAGTGATTGCAAACTATTTCCTCACATTGTATAGCCATTAAATGTTACTGTGCAAATGACATGATTGTGTTGCAGATTCTGGAGCTTTTGTTGGGTGGAGCCCAAGAGATGGGTCAGGTGATCAAGGAACACATCCACACCCTATTGATAGAATTGAGGCAGTGGAAGCGCAATATGGATATAGAACCGGGAGAAGAGGATAAGGAGACCCTTGATGTCCAGGCCTCCTCTTCTCGCAAGGGCACTCTCATGGACAGGTGTGATTTTATTCTCTTTAAACAGAAGGGGACAGAAAAACCAACAATTGGGGATTCAAGGCATAGCATAGCTTTTAGACACTATCTGTTCTTCCAGGTCAATTCTTGAGTTACTATCAGTTGGCAAGAATTGCAGTCAGCTGCTCATGTCACTTTCATACAAGCAATGAATCCTATTTATATAACTAAATATTGCTAGGAGGCTTTGAGAGGAGTAGTCTTCCATTGTGAATGGATTTTACTAGCAACTTTTATCTTGGCTCACCTTTCATGGGTGTGGCATTATTCTGGTATGAATTTAATGTCACTGCTGTATCTCACTCTATGCATTGGAGTGAGATTCAGGAGTGACATTAACTTATGTCATAGCATGTCAATTCTATGATGTATCATAAGACAGTGATTTCACGATCAGGCCATGGATGGAAAGTGATCTCATTCAAGAAGTGAATGTGTGAGGTAAATAAAAATTGAAAGTTACCCATAAAGAAGTTGTCAGAAGTTGTTGAAGGTTGTCACTAGGAGGTTCTAGATGCAAGATAAAATGAATAAACAAGTTTTAAGGAGGAGAGGAGAATTGAAAAAGGACTTCTTTGCATTGTAGAAAAGAAAACTTGGATAGCGTGAGTGGTGTTCTAAATTAATCAGTTTTTGCCATAGTGGTTTTTAATTTGTTGTACAGACTTATTGAATTTACTGGTGTGACATTTATGACAAGTGTTTCAGATCAGCAGCATATTCACATTTGAAGAAAGTGGGCAAGAAGGATTCAAACCAAAATAAGCTATGAAGTCAAACTGGGGAACTTATACGAGGTCTGATCAAAAAGTTCTAAGACTTAATTTTTTATGATGCTGTGGTGACTCTTTCCAACTGCTGATGGTTATATCCTTTAAACTAGTCCTCTCCGACATCTACATAAATTTTCCGGCGTTTCTTCAGCCACTGGAAGCATTGCTGACACTCATATTTTGGAGTCACCAACAGCGCTCACGGTGCATTCGTAATGTTGTTTTAAATGTTCTGAGATTTCCTTTCTTTTGCAATCTCAGCAGTTTCTGACCTACCCCGCAATCCCGTGCTTCATCAGCCATCCATCCAACTCATCGGGGTTTAGCTCCTAGTCATTTATTTTTGTTCTCTAAACTAAAGAATGTGCTGAAATGAAGGAGATTTTAGGAATTCAAAGCAAAATTGTAAACGCGCTGCAAGCACTGCTGGTGATTCCAAAAGATGAGTGCCAGCAGTGCTTCCGGCGGCTGAAGAAACACCAGAAAATTTGTGTAGATGCCGAAGAGGACTATTTTATAGAATATAACTATCAGCAGTCGGAAAGAGTCACCATAGCGTCATAAAAAACTAAGTCTTAGAACTTTTTGATCACACCTTGTATATACAGTATATATATTTCTTAGACTGCAACAGAAAATGCAGATTTTTAGGAAATATTTATATAACTAAGCTGTGAAGATGCTGCCCCAACATTGTCTGCTTCATGCCACTTTTACACCTTGATTGGAATTTTTTTTTCTGGCAAACATAGGACCTAGGACCTTCACACATCATTTAATTCTCCCACTACTGCAACATAGACATTTGTATAGAGTTCCTGCTTTGGTGTATAATTTGACTAAATGATAAACGGGTGTCAGGTTCATTTACCAGTTTCTGCCTGGGTTCCCTGCTTCATTGCAGGAAGGTCTGAGAGCCAGTGGCCATTCTTGGTATATCTGCTCTTCCTAAGATCCTTCAGTTGGCATTGTGGAGTATTCCCTATATCCTGATGACCTACCCTCTCCTCACCTGTCTCCTTTTCCCCTGGTATGACTGGATTTGGGGTTTCCATTTCAGTCAGCTCCCCTCTGCTGCACCAACCGTACATCTGTTTCCTGAAACCATCCTCATGCATTTCACAAAAAATCTCAGCTAATGAACTATGAGAATAGATGTGGAATGGTGTTTCCATCCTCTTGGAGCAAAGCCCCAAGAATGTCTCAAAGCACCACTCCAATATTACAGGCGTCCAAGATGTCGTAATATGATATCCCCTCCTCACAAGGCTAGCAACAAAATGTAGAGGAAAACTAAATGCTCTACTGGATTTTTTATTTTTATTTTTACATCCAGAGACCACCCAAAAGTGTGGCAATCATCATTTAGGATGTCATGTAACCCTTAGGGATCTTTGCAGTAGTGAGCAAAAAAGGCATGGGCATCCTGATTACTTCAGGAGAGTATCAATGTGGCTCTGAATTGGTTTTTGGCAGAGCATGAAGGATTCTATAATTTAATTCATTTTGGTACTTGTGTGTTCATAGGCAGACAAAAAGTGAATTGTGAGACCATTTCTCATTGTCAAAGAAGTGAATTTCATATTGCTTGTGATCTTTTTTTCATTGCTTCTCCTTATGCTATTTTCCCACTTCAGGTTCACCAGAGAGTCAGTTATTGTGATGGCTAGTTCCCGGCCAGGGAAGGCAACTCGCATGGAATTGCAGCTACCAAGTATGAGTGCACTTACGAGTAAAACATCAGCCCAAGCATTCTTCCTCCGCTGCTTAAAGGTTATCATCCAGTTACGTGAAGCAGAAGCAGGTGTCAAAACACCACCAGCTGGTGCCAACCGTCATCGAGGTGAGCTTTAATGAATCTGAACATTATAAGTGTGCTTCACTCTTCAGTGGTGTACAGCAGAATAAAACTGATGTTGCTTGGCTTTAGACTCAGAGGATCCACTATATGAGCCAGACTATGTCCCTGCAAGCTCCCTTTTGGGAGCAACAAATGCAAGAACTCCTCAACCGGTAAGCTCCTCCTCTTCTTTCTAATTCTATCATGCACATGACTTCTGTTAAATCATTAAATGATATCTCTGGCATTAATTTGCATAGGCACAGCCTGGGGGAACTGTAGAAGGACAACAGCCAGATCAGGGAATGGGAAGAGAAAGTATGGAAGTGGATGATGCAGGTACTGTCTCATGAACATATCCTTTTTGTATATGACTTTGCATTTGTTTTTACCTTGGATGAATTGGCATGTAGGTGGCCAAAAGGAGGTTGGTGGTGAGAAAGGCGAGGATGTACCTAGCCGACAACGTCTCAGTGACCTCCTTCACCTTGATTTCTTATGGGATGTATTGAGTCAATGCCTGATTGATTTGGCTGACACCCCCGACTATCATGCAGTTCTTGTCCTTCAGGTCTCGCATCTTGGTTTTCTTTCTCACAGTTCATTCTCATGTGACAATGGCCATTCAAGTGGTGTCTTTGATGGTCTAGCCTGCAGTGGAAGCTTTCTTCCTGGTCCATGCATCAGAGAAGGAGAGCCAAGAGTCAAGTGGTACGCGCCATGAGACCCGCGAGAGCCAGCTTTCTCACATCCATCAAGAACTGGCTCCTCTGTCCCCATTGTCAGCATCTGCAGCCATAGCCAGTACAACTGAGGGTGAACATTCCTCTATGCTACCAAAAGATGCTTCTCAGGGCTTGACTCTCAACCTTCCTCCTGACACCAAGAAATTCCTGGAGTTTGCCAGTGCGCCCTCTCACCAGAGTTCAAAAATGTTTTATAGTTTTAACCTTTAATTAGTATTGAGCTTTTCCTTTTAGGCATGCATCGAACTGTGCTGAACCAGATCTTAAGGCAATCTACAGTGCACCTTGCTGATGGCCCATTTGCTGTGCTCGTGGATCACACCCGTATCCTGGACTTTGATGTGAAGCGGAGGTACTTCCGTACAGAGCTGGAGCGTATGGATGAAGGGATCCGACGAGAAGACCTGGCAGTTCATGTGAGAAGGGAACACGTCTTTGAAGACTCCTTCCGGGAACTGTATCGTCGCAGCCCAGAAGAGTGGAAGAATCGCTTCTACATAGTTTTTGAAGGTTTCTATGATACTCTTTGCTTAAGTGTTATTGCTAGTATTTGTGAGAAATCCAGCTCTGATGAACATGAATTTATTTTCATATTTATATCTTCCAGGGGAAGAAGGACAGGATGCTGGTGGCCTATTGAGGGAATGGTATGTGATAATCTCTCGTGAAATCTTCAACCCAATGTATGCCTTGTTCTGCACTTCCCCTGGCGATCGGGTCACGTACATGATCAATCCCTCGTCTCACTGCAACCCAAACCATCTCCTGTATTACAAGTTTGTAGGCAGAGTTATCGGTGAGGTCCCTTTACATTCACTGTTCCAAGAGTTTCATTTCTGACAGAAAGGCATCTCATCATCCTCCATTTTTTCCCTTGCAGCCAAAGCAATTTATGACAACAAACTGCTTGAATGTTACTTCACACGTGCCTTCTACAAGCACATCCTGGGGAAACATGTACGCTACTCAGACATGGAGAGTGAGGATTACTCTTTTTACCAGGGACTTGTGTTCCTCCTCGATCATCACATCTCTGAGCTTGGCTATGACCTGACCTTCAGCACTCAGGCAAGATGGGACTTTCCTGTGAATGTCTTCCTTTTCAGTCATGTGTGCTCATAAGATCTTATTCTTCTCACAGGTCCAGGAATTTGGGGTGACTGAGGTTCGAGACCTCATTCCCAATGGACGAAACATTCTTGTTTCAGAAGAGAACAAGTTTGAGTACATACGTCTGGTGTGCCAAGAGAAGATGACTGGAGCCATTCGCAAACAGTGAGCATTGTCTCTTGAGATGGATTTGAAAATTTTATTTTTGCTTGCTGTATGAAGTCCCTTAAATTTTTTGTCCATCTTCTCATCAGGTTAAATGCCTTTCTTGAGGGGTTCTATGACATCATTCCCAAGCGTCTTATATCCATCTTCAGTGAGCAAGAGTTGGAACTCTTGATCTCAGGCCTCCCAACTATTGATATTGATGACCTCAAAGCCAACACTGAGTATCACAAATACCAGGGAAATTCACTGCAGGTAGGAAATTTCATTTAAAGCATCATTTCTCTCTTTTATAATGCATTGTCTTGAGGTGATGAGCATGGAGGCTTGTATGTCATTCTCTTCAACAGATCCAGTGGTTTTGGAGAGCTCTGCGTTCATTTGATCAAGCTGATCGAGCCAAATTCCTCCAGTTTGTGACAGGAACATCAAAGGTCCCACTTCAAGGTTTTGCTGCTCTAGAAGGCATGAATGGAACCCAGAAGTTTCAGATCCATCGAGATGACCGCTCCACCGACCGCCTCCCGTCTGCTCACACCTGGTATAATGTCTTCTTAAGATGTCATTTTGAATACTTGTGTATATGTAGCTTATGCAAGTTCATCTACTATTCATGTGGTATCTTGGAACTCCTTTGCAGCTTCAACCAGTTGGATCTTCCAGCCTATGAGACATATGACAAACTCCGCACTTATCTCCTCAAGGCGATCCAGGAATGTTCGGAAGGTTTTGGATTTGCTTGAAGACTATTCTCACACTCAGGAGAGAATTACTTTGCTTTCTTGCTTTCGGTTTCCCTCTTATTTTTCATGTTTCATTCTTCCCTCTTTTGGGTTTTTTTTCATTCATTTATCCAATTGAGAGCTGCTGAATATTGTCATATGGAATACTACTTGGATGCAGGGAGGAAAAAAACAAAGAGGGAACAGGAAGGAAGCATGTTCTGGGTTTTGGAAGAGAATTTTTTCTATTTCCCTGTCCGAAGGTTATCTGTCGAGGATGTCTCATCCTTCACAATTCATTGCTTATGTTTATTAAAAATGTTGGAGTTGAAATAAAAATTTTGAAGGCCCACCACATTCTCTTTTTCTCTTCATTGAATGATTGGAGTGAGAATTTGTTAGATGTCACATACACTCATTCCTATTTGGCTGAGGCTCCTGTGGGTTGAAGGATGCCTGGTTCAATTAACTTTGCCAGTCAGCATCAATGAGCTGAAGAGTCCCACCCATGATGAAGAGCATTGTTGAGAGACAAGTGGGAAAGTTCACTAGTGAAAGTGAATAAAGCAACTGGCATTATTTCACTATATTGAGTTTATGTTACATCAGGAGAGGTCAAATATCCCCCTTTACAAGATTGACTCTATTTTATTCCTGTGCTCACTTGATTTCATCATCCCTTGAGCACATTATGTGGACCCAATGGCTTCAGAGAGTTTCATGGTTGACAATATTTTAACATTAATTGGTAAATACCCTGAGGGCTAGTCACATGCCCTGGCACCTAAAGCTGCAGAAGAATGCGTTAGCAGCTAACATGGTGCATGTGTACAGTATGGCTTATATATTTTGATTTCATAGAATAAAAACAAGGATAGGGTGAATGGGGAAAAGGAGCCATGATCTCTTTCTGAAGAAGTAGTGAGGGGGTGAGCTCTGTTCACTGTTTTCATGTTTTCATTTTCCCTGCCAAACACACATTCATCCAATGTCCATTCCCCATATCACATTCTAGTGCCAAATTCCATGGCACTCTCACAGACTGCAGCTGAGACAACGATGCAAAGGGGTGGGTGGTAATAACTCCCACTTCTGCACTTTTGAGAAAATATTTTATTTCCCTCTTGATGAGGAAAAGTTGATATCAGTGTCCTTTATGTCTGGGGACACAGGAATTCTTACGTTGAAACTGAAATTTTGGTACATCCTAATTTTTCAGCATGGACATTCAACCTAGCAACACAAAGGATTTCAGAATAACCTGTTCCTACTTTTATCAGTGTTCGTGATACCATGAGTGGACTGTGGATGGAAAGGGAGAATCAAAGAAAGTTACTGCATACCTTGTAAATTTTGTAGGACATTGCTCAGGAAGTAAACCTTCATGGTAGCAATAACTTTGAATGAAATTGCCTCTTCCTCCTATGTCCAAGGTGAAACAGCTGCTCGTGGAATGGCACGAAATGAGGAGAAGCATTTTGGGATCCTGAATAGAATTCATCTGGAAAGGGAGAAGAAAGGTCAGGCCTGCATTGTCCATAACCGTGTAAAGTAATCCTTGTTCCTACAATATAATGGCATGCTATCAGAAATGTCTCTGTAATCCTGGTGCTGTCTGGATCCCTTTTGAGGTGGATCACAAAGTCAACAGTACCTAACTTGGGTCCTGTTACATGTACTTGAAAAATCCATGACACAACCATATCTCTCTTTCATCTTGTGTTATTTTCTTAACACGTTGGCGACAATGCGTCCTGATGCCAGGATGCAGATTTCATTTTCAATGAATACCCTCTGGAACTGTTGAGAATGTTCCAGAAGATTATGATTTCGTAATTACTGATAAAAATTCCAAAAAATTCAACATTTTAAAAAAAACTCGGCAAAAAAATGTTTTCTGGGACCATGCGTCCTGATGGCAGGACGCATTTTTTGAAGAAAAAAAAGCGCGTGGTCCCACACGGCGGACAAGCAAAAATAGGCTGGTCATCAACGTGTTAAGCATGCATGACTGATTCATCCATTCTGTGCTCTAGGTTTGTCCCAAAATATGCTTCCATGAATGTGAAGTTTTTTATTTTGAACTTGTCTAGAGCAACCAATTGGAAAAGTATTGTATATTTTGAAGGGGGTGTGTCCATCTGTTGTCCTAGAGACTTTTGTACACTTGTTCCATTAGCACCATGATGTCATTTGTCTGACTCATTAGTCTCTTTTTGTAGCACGAGAGTCGAAGGTGGTGAAGAGACCGAAGCTGAGCCAACTCGATGATGCTGCATCCATACGGCTATGGATGCCCTCCATTCTTGATGAGATTGATCAGAATCTCAGGGTCAGCATCCTATTTGGCTTTCCATTTCACCCTGAAATCTGCTGCTGACATGGACTAATGGAGGTACTTTCTTCTTGCTTGAATGTGGAGGTAGCAGTCACAAGCAACATGCTATCCTGACCGAGTGACAGAGGGTTTCAGGAAGAAGGTCCAATACCTAGAAGCTGAATACAAGAGATTCCTGAAAAAGGCCAGGAATTTAGAAGAGGAATCTTTCCCCTCTTGCAGAGCTGGAGGAGGACCATCCAAGATACCTGTTCCATATCAATCGACGAGGCCAACCCCCCAAGGTTAGCATTGTTCTTTTCTTTTCAACTTTCTTCCTTTCTTTCAAGGAGCCCAGAAGCACATATTCAGTGGCCATCCTTTCCAGGTAGGCAAGAGGCCACTTATATACCTACCCTGTCTTATCACTCTTTTCACTTTGTTATGACTTAAAAAATGTTTCATTACCTTTGGTAAAATTGGTATATGGACAGATACAGGCAGAATACTAATGAGGGTAGGTGATATAAATTCTGATCCCCTTGAGCTCAAAATCCACCCCCTCACCAACAGTTTGATATTCATCTTTTTGAGATCTATGCCAATTGAGAGGAAAACGAATACAACACCCATTTGTGTTTAGGGATCAAACACTTGCATAATTAGAGTGAAAAAGTCTGCTTGTACTTCTGATCGAGTTGAAATATATAGCGTGGGAGTGGAATTTGTATCACCTACCCTAGGTCTTTTCTTTTTGAAGCTTGTTTTTGAACATTTTATGGCAAGTTTTACATTTATGCAATTCTTGGTCATGAAGCTTTTTGGCTTTTCAAGCAAAACTGAGTTTTCCACCTTGCTTTCTGATGGGGTATATAGTCCTTTCCCTTCCATTACTTTCACTGCTGTGCCACAATGATGGCACCTTGCACATCACACAGAGCAGCTCTTGTCATGTTGGATTCATTGTACTCCACAGCAACTGCAAAATTGATGGCAGGGTGGCAGTTCCTGCTGTGTCTTGCTTTGTCAGTTTTAACATTATAAGGTGTGGGCATACTATCCTTTTTGTTTCAACAGATGCAGTGGATGACCTGAATAGTTTGGGCTTCATCCCAACACCAATCTTGGATGAGGAACAGAAACATTTTGACGAGAAAGGAGCAGATGGACGACCTGATTCTGCTCCCAAGGAGTGAGGAAGTTCAAAAACTGCTGGGAATGGATTGTCCTTCTCATTCTACTCCACTCCTTTTGACTGTGATGGTGGGTGTGCCGTGCTTTCGACTTCCTCCGGCCGCAGTTACAGACGGGTCTGCCATTTGGTTAATGATGAGGTAATTTACAGTATTTGGTGACTGTTCGATGAGGTGAGACGGAGAAGCTGTGCTTTTTACTGGGATCGTCTGAGCCGTTCGGTGGCTTTCGGTTGATGCCAATGTAATGCGCATGTTTCATATATGAGATCTTTGTCTGACTCCTGCTGTTTCACATGGAGCTGATACTTGGAGGTGTATCATATTTACATGGAGTAAGCATGATCTCTTTGTTCTGGAACTAAACAGATGCACTCTCCATGCTTTGAAGTGGTGTTGGCATCTGACTTACCTTTAGCACCTGGGTCTGCTTCAGGCTCAGTGGATCTGTTCAGTCCTTAGATTGACTTGTGGCACTCAACTGATGATCCCAAGTGAGATCTCGATAGGGAACCGATTCGTGTTCCTCCCTTTGGGGTTTCCAAATGGCACTAACCAGAGTGAAGTTGATAAGCTCCGCTCTTGTTACAACAATCTGATCTGGATGATATTGGAAAATATATATTTTATAATAATATTTTTACATCACTGTTTTACTTTTTTAAGAAGGCATGCTTTTTTTTTTAGCATTCTACTAGTTTCACAGGCATTTCAAAGAAAAATAGAGATCTTGATTATTTAAAATACTTCGTACACAAAACATTGATATTAGAAGGGCTTTTCTTTATTTCATGTACATTCTAATTCTAGCATGATCTCTTTGCTGCAGCTGATTCTCAACTATATTTTTCCTTCTGTTTTACGGCATTTTGCGGACACATTTGTGTTCATGAAAATTGATTGCTTAAAGCCAGGAACCATTTTGAGGTTGAAACTGTCTCAGCTGCGAACATAATTAAATTACACAAGTGCACTATATATTTATTATTGTTGGGACATACGTTCGCGGAAGATTTATTGCATAGTTTTTAATTACAAGATAACGCGAAAAATACGGGCACAATTCGAAAGCGAGACACAAGTTTTAAGAAATTGCATCACTACGGCATCCGAAAGGGGATTCACGTCTCCTAACACGACTTGGTGGGTCGGTCAAGCAACCGAAGCACGGCAGCAGCACGGCTCTAGCCATGTGCCAGTGGAAATGGGGTGAAATCGTTGGGACGACGAGCCTGATTGACGTCTCGATGCGATTTCAGCCGGGATTCTCTCATAATCCCTGTGTGTTCCTTTTGCCGGTGATTTCCGTCCCTCAGAAACTGCGGCGTAGAATGGAAGATGCGACCAGGTGCGAAAAAGGGAAAAGCCGAATCCGGCAACCCTGGCACGATCGGCCTCGGGCCTCGCCAGCCAGCTCGATGTCAGTCGGGTCCGGCCTTCTCCGAAGAATCCTTGGATTAATAGCGTGAGTCCGAATCGGCTTTCTGTCAAGAGCCGGTGGAAATTTTCACTCTTCTCAATTAAGAAAAAAAAAACTTACAGATGTTCTAAAAAGATAAATACATTGCAGCACATCTTTCCTATTGTTTTTCAGGAGATCTCAGAAGGGGAAGAACGAAACGGCCTGGAGATCCTCATCCAGAAACGTCATGTAATTCATGCCCATTTCTTGGAATTACTTTGAGCGTGTTTCAATTGCGCCGCTGGAGCCCTACGTATGATCGGAATTACGAGGAGCCACGGTAGATGGCTCTTTGCAACTTGTGCTGCCATCTATGAGGTGTAATACAAAACTTTTGAAGGTGAAAATGTCTCTTCGCGCAAAAAATTGTCACGAGTTCCTGTGGCGCAGTTGCAGATTTGCGAAATGGTTTATTTCAATAAACATATTTTATATCATAATGTTTTATTAATCGGAAAGGAGAGTAGGTAGAGGAGGACACACATGATGACCAAAAAATGAAATCGAGATGCAAAAGTTCCTCTCTGGTATTGGCCGTGGGGTCAACCGCAGACGATCGGGTCCCTCCCTGCCCCCCTTCCCTCCCCACCGGGTTTACCGTTAACGTTACTTTATACGCTCGGGCGTTTCGCATGTTCCCAAACTGTTCCCGGGAAAAGGGAAGCCACCGGGAGTTGAACCCTCGTCTTTTGAATGCAAGTTGACCACGCCCAACTGGAGCCGAAGTGCTCCGACGCTTAACCCCCACGGCCACCAGGGAGTTATACGAGTTCTTCCTTCTTTCAGACATATTAAGCGCTACCCTCGGCTACGGAGATGGAACGTGACGTCATACTGGTTGTCTGCTCTCTCACTACCGTCGTCGTCTGCTTGAAATGAAAGCGGAGCCACACGTGTCTACGTATTCCCAAGCCCCATCTTTGACTTCTCGTGCTCTTCAATTATCTCTTCACGATGCAGAGGGTCGTGCAACTTTTTTTTTCCGGAATTAGAAAATTGTGTACGACTGGATGTCACTGGAAAGCAAACCAATTAAATAACGATCGTTTGAAAAAAAGACAAAATCAGTAAAGCCTCTTACCGAAGAGACGAGGGGTTTCATCTTTAAATAAAATATAAGCCCGATCACAGTTTTAATCCCGACCACCGAAATTAATGAAATCCTGGGAAAATTGAAAGCAGTAATAGTTTATTTTTGGCACCAGAGTAAGGTCTGATCCCGAGTTCCCTCTTCCAGCCGGATCTGACGCCACCTCGAGCAGAGAAGAGGTCATATATGGTGAATCCATATGAAGTGTAGAGACCATGGAGGGTTGCCGGATGCAAGTTGCTCTGTTTGGGCTTCCCCTTTCCCTCCTCCATTCATAGGAAAAGGGCGTGGTCTTTAGTCTGAACGGCTGGAAGTGCAGATGGCCAGGCCATCTTTCATCTGAGAAAGTGTCTTTGCATTTTGCGGGGACTGAGGTACTCTGTCCATTTTCAATTTCTTTTCTATAGTTGTTCATACCCTTGCTAAAGCAGAAATTAGCATGAAAATGCAAAAAGTTGTTGAGAACATGGGCCTGTGCAGAGACAATTTTTTGTTCTTCAGTAAGTGCAGAGTTATAAAGATTAAAGTCAGGGAGTTTTTTTTTCACACTTTCCAGCTAATATGATGCCAAGAAATTTCAGAATACTCTTCATACAATTTAGCTCCCTTCCCACTCCAATAATGGGAAACTCAAAGGCATATTCCATCTGCTCATGACCATGACTCAATTGCCAAATAAATAAATTGAACCAATTTATTGGAAAAAAAATATTTTTTTCCCAAAATGCTCACTACATCATCGAGAAAACGTCAAGGGAATAATCCTCCTTAGCATTCTATGAACAGGATGGAATTCTACAGACAAATTCTCCTTCAAAGGCAGCACGATAGATCACACAGACGTTGCTTCATTGTGTGAGGAAGATTCCTCATTTCCTTCAGGTTCTGGTGTGTTTTGGAACTGGGCCCATGGATGCAATGGCTTTTCATACTTCATAGACTTCAACCATGTTGTATAGTAAAATAGGAATTTCTTTCTGGAGTCTTTCTTATTCTCCTGGAAGCAAATCATGGAGCAAAGTCAGGCACGAGAGACAAAATGGGAGACATTAATTTCCAGATTAGAGAAATTCCTTTCAGCTCTTCATCCAACTAATACTTTTTTCTTCCAGTCACAAAACTGAGAATACCCATCCAGCATACCATCCATGCTCTTCATCCCCTTGTAAACTTAACACATACAAACAGCAGCAATTCAGTTCTTACTAATTTGCAACATGCTAATTCTTGCATGCAAGCTTCTTTCCACAGGAAGCATTACATGAGCATGAGAAAGGAACAGGAATAGCTTTGAAACTACACCTACTAATAGATCATTTTTAATCTTGGGTATCTTTAATCTTATCTTGATTCATTACTCAAACTTCAATGACCCAATTACTCTCTCTCTCTGAATCCACCAGAGCAAATATAAAATTCTGAAGGTGGTGAAGAAACTTCATTTGGTGCACTTCATTGAGCCAGATGACAATGCTGGCATGTCACTCTTCATGGCATGAGAAGAGAATAATGTAAAAACTACCACATATTATCCAATTCTATCAAATTGATCTTCAGTTCCAGTTCTTGGGTGTAACTTACACTATGAATGACAAAGGCATCATTCAGCCTAGATGGGATCCATTAGAGAAGCCATTTGAAATTTATTTATCGATCTATTCAATCAATTATTAATTTCTTTCTGCTGTTGATGATTACTCATATTTCTTAATCTAATCAAATTGGCAGTCTCATTTGAAACCAACCCCTTGAATATAAACTTTATTAACAAGAGCAAAATGTAAGACAAGGATTGTGGAGACTCACTATTGGTGCCTTGTTTTCAGATTCATCCTGAAGCTGAGATTTTTTAGCCACATTTCGCAGCTTTTCAAGGTAATTCAAGAACATGAGAGATGGTTCAATGGAATTGACCCTTGCCACATTCATGAGGTTCAAGGCCCAGCCAAAATCTGTTTGTGACAAAGCATTGCTCAAGAGTGCTCCAAGGATCTCCATGTTGCACCTAAACAAGAAAAGAGATTGTCTCTGCCAGGAATGTTATTGCTCTGTTTCTGGAAGAATGCAAGGGATCGAGATGAGGACCTGATGCCAGCCAATTCCATGTCCTGAAGAAGCTGGTTTCCCTCATTCCTTGTCCTACAGCCAAGGGCCAGGACTCCATATGTCACAATGTCAGGTCCCAGGGAGTTCTCTGACATTCTTGTGAGTGATCTCTAGGGGGAATAAATTACTTCAGTTCCATATCATGACTTCATTTAAAAGCAAAACAAAAAAAACTCCAAATAAAGCCCATAACAAACCTTGATGGCTTGAGAATCATGACGAGAAGCTTGCTTCTTTATCAGCTGATTGAAGAAGTCTGTATCTGCTTTAACATTATGCAGCTGCATGTTCCTCAATAATTCCTGTAAGAAATGAATTAGTGAGATGACTTGCATCTAAATGGAGTCTGATTTGATAGGCACAAATAATAATGACCTCTTCAGCATTAGAATTATTGGGGATGGAAGCAATAAGCAGTGAGAAGGCCTGGATGTTGGGCTTAACACCATCAGTACCCATCTGCAAGAGGATCCCACTTTGACCACCAAGAAAACCAAGCCTGTGTCACAGGAAATGAAAGTATTTGGTCAATGTTTTTCAGATATTGCAGTAAAAAAGTTCTGCAACACTTTTTCTGGTTTGAGTTCCTTAGTCACTTGATCACTATTGATGCACAATGCCTCAAACTGCAGGGAAAGTAAAAGTGATGTCTCCAATATTTACCTTAAAATCCATCATCTATAATTTTTTGACATCATAAAAAGCCCAAGAATGCTAATTCATTTTCATTGTGACCATTAATGAAGAAACAGGGTGTTGATCCTCCCTTTCTGGCATTGCACTTGATCTATGGCATCAGAAATTTATATAGTAGGTGGATGGAAACTTTCTGCATATATGTGGTTATGTCACAGCTTTACTTTCATTTTGATGGAAATTTTCACCTGTTTCCAAGGATCCACACCCTTTCATCCCTCTCACCCACTGAAACTAATTTAATCACCATTGGCACTGTCTGCCCTTGGCTGGATTTGCATGTATTTTAACTGTTTTTCTCTGACCTATCCATTAAATCTCAGATCAGCCTTCCATATTTGTGTTTTCTTTACCAGAATCGTGACGGATTAGGTCAGAGTCTCATAGTGGGGTTGGGAAATATAATATTCTATACTCTGAAAGTCCATAACCAGTGTTGGAATGTGGCTATGCTTATATGTAGCCATTGAAACACTTGTTCAAGACTATATTTGGCCCTCTGTGAGCATTGCTCTGGCCTGCTTTTAATGTCATTAGCCCTTCACAGCCTCCTGAGCGGACTTTGTGGTGGTGTCCTAAGCTTGACCTCTATTGGAATGCAAATCTCTTTTCACATGCTTCTCCTGTCTGAAATCCCTATACCACTTCTGGAGGATAATTTGTATTCAATTCTTTTGAATTGTTATGCTCACAACAGAGGCCCAAATCTTCTTGCTCTTGAGATTTGTATTGTAACATTAAAGTGAATTGTCAGTGAATCCTCCTCAGCCTTTTCACTTGCCATCACCCACAATCATTCAAGTAGAACATGGACTTTATCTCAAACCCTCACCAATCACCTTACCTGTTATTTAGCAAATTTAAGTCCCTTAAGAGGCCCATATAATATACATGGATGATCTAATTATTTCTTGATATGGGATCTTTTCTTACATCAGACAACAGGTTCAAGTCAATCTTATCTGATTCACTTTTGATCAATAACAAATTTTAAATTATGGCTTAATTCTGCACTTATCATCACTTCATTTAAATGACGGAATTGCATCATGCAGTTCATGTGTATAAAAAAAACATTTAATGACATGATGGTTTGAGGTCAGGCCATACATACATACAATTGGTACATACCTAAAAACGAAAAACTGACCTGTCCTGTGGTCGATCCAGACTCTTGATTGCCACAATGCCCTGATTAACCTGGATGCTTTCAGACAAAACTTGAGGCAAGAAAATTTCATTTGAGACAGACTTCAATGCTTTATCCCCTCCAGCTTCCAACTTGGGCTGGGTCTCATCTTGTACATCTTCCCCTCTCATTATGGACCCATAGATGGTAGAAGGTGTATACAAGGGAAAGTGAGGCCTCTGGCAAGAGTTGATCAGAGTTTGCAATAAGGACTGTCCATCTGAACCCACTCCACAATCTCTCACTGCTCGTAACAGAAGATTGAAGGAGAAGATGGTTGGATGGACACCTTTCTCGCGCATTTTTCGCCATATCTATTAAACAAAAAAGTTGTTCCAATGACTCAATCTATAGAGTAATTATATGGAGAGAAGTTAATTGGTAAGGATACTTGAATATTGAATACACACCAAGAGTGCATGGGTGAACCCATCAGCCTTTCGAGATATGCAGCCCTGCAGAAGGAAATTGAAGACTGTTTCAGTCAAGGGATGTTCATTAGCTACCATTTCATCCACAAGGCTGAGGGCTGTTTTCAAATCCCCACATCGTCCAAATGCTAGGAATAAAAGAGCAGGGGTCCTTTTTAAAATTACATCCTAAGCACAGGGCACATTCAGAAACTGCATGATGCAGATGGAACAGTTGTTTTGACTATTCAGGCTCCTTTTGCTTGTCTCATTCCATGTAAGGGTCATTTAACTTCTGAAAGGTAATCATCCTCAGGCAGATCCATTTTGGAAGAAGTTGTAAAAAAATTGTGCATTTCTGTCATGCACTGAGCAAGGACTACAACATTGCAAAATCACATTGTAACCAATGGGATGAGATACAGACAGAAACAATGCCCAATACCTTTAATCATAGCATGATAATTGATGGTATTGGGAAGATATCCCTTATAGCGCATGTGATCCAGGAGTTTCTTGGCATGCTCCAAACCATTAGTCTCTGGCCATGGTGAATTAGAGCATGCATTGAAGAGGGATGTGTAGATGTTTTCCCTAGGAATGAATCCATACTCCTTCATCTGTAACAAATATAAAAATAGAGCAGCAATGCAAATTTATCTCTCAACCAATAGATGGGATGTATTTATAACTATATCACTATAACATGAAAGAGAAGCTTTTGTAAACATAAGGAAAGTAACTGACCTGCTTAAAAAGTTTGAAAGCTTTGTCAGTGTACCCAGCCTGAGCACAGCCTGAGATGAGATGAGTGAAAACAGATGGATCTGGTCGGGCCTTGTCTTCAAATCGCATCTGTTTCTCCCAGACATTGAGGGCCTTCTTCAGCTAACAGAGGACAAATAAAGGAAAGTAGTACATAAAATTAAATTTCAAAAGAAATCAGCAGGAAAGATCTATCTCTTGGAACATATGCATTCATCGTATCAATACTTTCACTTAATTCCAGTTGGGGATAACTTAGAACAAACCTCCTTCTTGTCCAAGTGTTCCTTGATCCTCTGTACATATTTGAAAGGAGGAAGGCGTTTGGGGATGACATTAACATCAAATTCTTCGTGCTCAAACTCAGGGGTTGTGGTTCGCTTTCTGAGAGAGCCAAACTCATCAGGGTCTCCATAATCTGCTTCATCAGTTGCACTAAAAGCAGAGGCCAAAACACATTGTTGTTGTTAAGAAGGCTGTACAGATACTGAAAGTACTGATGGAAACAACTGTAGTTTCATAGGTTAGCATTACATTGCAAATTAGAATAAGGAATGTTCAAGTACTACATCAGCACAAAAACTCAAATTCTGAACATGGGAAATTGAATTAAGATTATCTACTTCCACTCCCTCAAAACTCTCACATGATCAACTCCCAAATTACATGCCAGCAACTTCCACATGAGGTTTCAAAATGCACAACTGATAGGTTACACATGGAACTTAGTTTCTCACATCAAGTTTCAAGAGTAACCTACCAGTATTTCCTTTGATTTGATAAGCAAATAGAGTGGACCTTGTATCAATAGTTACAACAGCAAAATCGTCAATACAAAACTTCACTTCCTGAGGTACCTAGAATTCACCAACAAGGGCTAATACCAGGTTTGGAAATAGCTTCATACTTCTGGGTGAATCTCAAGTCTGGAAACAGCTTAACAGCACCTGCTCAATGTGTTCTACCTTATTATTTGTGCACTTTTGCAGTCACTTCACCCATTAACGTCAATACACTTTTGAGAACCCAGGCATGATTTCTGAACATGCCTAGAAGATATCTCCCTCGAGATGTAAGCAAAACAGTTACAGGTAAATGTGTAAAACCTGTATTTCCAGACTTAAGATTCACCCAGTATGTATCTTAATGTTCGTTTCAATGCCAAATAATTTGACGAAGATGACAACCTTTTATGGATTCTTGTATTTGACATAGTGTAGGAAGGGACTGAAGCTTTCTAATGCTTCAGAATTTGTATATAAACTCAATGGAGGACATGAATCTAAAAGGGCAGAAGATTAAAAGATCAGGCTTTGATGCACTTTACTGGAGGACCAACATCTGCCTTACTGGCAATGGCTTCATCATCAATTTCAATGATGGCTCACTCTGGATTTCATAATGACATTTATGATCTGAGTTCAAAAAGGTGTTTGAGAAGTTCCCTTTATGGAAAGAACATAGGTTCCAGGAAATAATATGGATAGGTTACCATTAGAAAAGCAAGAAAGATTATAGGATATAACAGTGGTGCATCTTGCACTTATTCATGCATGGTCTGCATGCTTGGCTTGGGGTCTCATGGGATGCTGTCCAACATCATCTTAACTTTGAGAAGATCTGGGTGCTTCTCCATCATGGCCTTCCAGTCCTTCCCATGGAGCCCTTCTTTGATATTGAAACTCAGGAATGCCATTACAGTACTAAAGAGCTTCCCAGCATGGTTTTCCCTGGCTAGGGCAAGGCATCGGATAGCATTCTCCCTTGAGATCCCCTCACACAATTGCTCCTCAGCAAGCTTCTTCAAGTCAGGCAGCTGGAGGTGAACTGCTGCAGGAAGGAGACACTCAGCAATCTCATTCAATTTTGGGCAAGACCCAGTGTAAAGGAAACAGAGGATCCCATGCAGTACAGTTGGTTCCATGTTTGGGATTTCAAGGCGGGTGTCTGCATCCCTCTGCTCGGGTCCAGACTGCTTCCTCAGCTCGTTCTTAATAAGAGAACCCAGTGCAGGGCACATATTTTGAATGAGTTCCAGATGGGCTGGGAATTCAATTCCTTTTGCAATGAGAAGTACATCTGGGTTAGAGTTGAGAGGCTGAAACAGCATGTCCACTTCCTCCTCTCCTGGCATGGAGATGTTCCCAATATGTACATAGACAGTCAAGATATCATTGGGAAGGAAGATGTTGGGCTCCTGGAGGAGATGAATCCACTCAATGAAGTCCCTTTGGAGCAGGGTCATTCCACTGTAGATGTGGACCCTCCCTGTCTCCTTCATAAAATGCTGTCTGCCCTTGGAATCCAGAATGGCTGCATGGAATTCACTGACAATTCCCAAGAGAGGAGGATCCATGAGGGTGAGGCCTAGCCCCAGGTGATTGCTGGATATCATATCTATTCCATTTGGATAGAGACCTATGCACCAGTGAAACTGATTTTTGGAACCACTTGTGCAAAATACAGGACTCCAAACAACTTCTCTGGGCTCCTTGGAGATTGTGGAGAAATCAGCTATCTTCCATTCATATTTATATGGCATTTTTGAAGAATAGTAATGAGATTTTCCTTTAAGGATTTATACTCATTTAGTTGCTACACGTCTTTGGTTGTCTGGATACCACGGACCACTATTGGCTCTTCCTTTTCCTCTTCCAACAGGTCAATCAAGCATTTGAGGTGGGAAAAATCAACTGAGAAGGTGCTCATCATACTGGGTTAGAACCTAAACCTTTCACAACTTTAGCAGAGCTGAGCTAAGGGAATGCCATGATCATCAATGGAGAGCAAATGGAGAATGGTAGCCTGATTGTTACAATGTCTGGAGCCAATCATTCACATTTTAGAATTAGTCACTAGCAGGGCTGTTAAAAAAGTTATTGCACCCCCTCACTCTCTCCCATATGATTGGCTTTGAGGTTAATACATTTGTGGATACTGACAAAATGATATGTGTGAAAGCTTATGGCTAAGTTCAATAGCACATCCTTCCCTTCTATCTTCTGGAATGATGAATGCAAAACCAACATGGATTGCATGGTCATAATTGCATGTTTTTTCAAGAAAGGATTGTATTTAAGGAAACAAGATAAATCCATGACACATTGAGAGAAACCTTAGGAGATTATGCACCCATCCTACTCATGTTCAGTTGTGGGTGGCTGCATTCAGAGGTGGAAAAGCCACTGTTGAAGTTGACCTGCTACACTGGCAAGCCTTCATCAATTTCAGCAGTAAACACTGTGGCTGCTAGATAACAATACTGGGCTCCATATTCAAGAGGAATTTATGGAACATTGCTGAGCCTCTTGCTCCCTGGGATTAAAAGAATATTGACTCATTGAACATGTTTATCAGAACTGGTCCCCTTAGTTTTCATGAAAAGTGAGATAAGAGAGTAGGATGATGTAGACGAGGTCAACTTGGCAGTGTCCAGTGCATTAAGACTTCTTTGAAAAACAACATATATACAACTGATTTCTCTTGCCTGACAATCAACTTGACAAAGTGGTGCAATAACTTTTTGAATGTCTCTTCTAAACTGTTCAAGTAAACTCTGTCAGATCCTGAAGGTTTCTGGCTACAGGATGACTTTTGGGTACATTAAAAATTAGCACAAGTATTATGGGCTGACGACTACCTGATTTCTCATGGGTAAATCTATATTTTACCTTCCAAAATTGGGCCACTGATATTTTTAACATTTTGTGTGCCCAAGATGCATCTCCCTTATGATCTTGGCAGTTGCCTTCTAACCCACCTCATGGCTCATTCCACATCACTTCAGCATCCCTCCTGTCTAGAGAGTAAATCTCATGATTTTCTTCTGCTTCTTCAAGGGGCCATTTGCTATCTGATTACAGTTTTCCTTCAATACCACTCATAGTTTCTATAATTAATATAATAATTAGTTGCAGAACAGTCCTTGGGCCTTTCTCTGGTAATAAACATTTCTTTGGAAGGGTTTATGGTATCTCTGGAAGCACCAGTCACCCTGCAGTCACTTTCTTCCAACAGTCGGCCTCGTTTCCTCTCACGTGTGGCAACCAGAGTGCCTCCCACGCATGATCACATAGAAGGGACATGAAAATTTTGCCACAATATCTACACCTTAGCTCACAATGGTTCTATCCAGAACTTTAGAAAATTAAAATTGATCCAGTTCCATTGCATTTATCTACATGAAAAGCACCTTCATGTAACGTGTTGCTATTCATCGAACATATTTAATAAGAATTTAATGGCAAATTGACATACTGACAAGAGAAATAAAGAGCAGGAGAACCAAAGAAAGGGAAAACCCAGAACTAATCGAAAACAGATTTTCACATACCAAACATGTGGCTATACTAGGCCTAACGCCCGGCAGGATTCCCTGCAGACATCGGGGGCATCATCAGACCTCAGATCACTTCAACAAATAAATAATTTCTTAAATCAGGGGCGAAAAACATTGCCTTCGACAGCCTCGACCAAAACTTACGAATATCTCCCCGCAGAATAACTCCTCGCCCAACTCCTGCCCCACAAAGCACTCTCTCGCATCACCGACAACCTCCGAAAGCTCACCCCCGTCTCGGCGACGCGACGGAGAAACGGCACGCCTCGCCCCGCGCTCAGTCGCAGCCCGACGAAGCGAGAGAGCGAGCGGGGATTCAGCGGGCGGGCCACCACGTGCGCCATGGATGGAACCATAGTGGATTTGCGGATTAGGATCATCTCTGCGTGGACGGTGAGGGGTTTTGTTTATTTGAATATTTTTTTAAAATGGAATTTCAGTGTCGAAATTCCTCAACCACTTCCAGGAGCGACTCAAGTTTTTTTTTTCTTAGACTTTTGCGGAGTTTCCCAACGTTTTAAGCTCCTCCATCACGGATTTGCAAACGATTAATAGAGTCGATGCAAATAAATGTCGATGAAGCGACAGAATTTACCGGAATATTCACCGTGAAGCCTCGAGAGCATTAACCACCATTTCCCTCGCCTAGCCAGCAAAAAAAAAAAAAACCTGCACGACACGATAAAGACTCCGAGGAAATGCCTCTCGCCTTCCCCGCAAATGGAGACGTGATAAAATTCCAAACGGATTTGGCTTATCCTCGTTGATACATGTACCATTCTCGTCTTACCATTGTCTTACCACTGTCTTACCATTGTCTTACCATCGTCTTACCGCTTCTCAAGACACGGTGCATCTGCAGGCTTGGTGTTATTTTGCAGCGACATTCAAATTTGTTATTTTTGGCGCGGAATGCCTCCGAAACTCCTCAGCGAGGTGTCCAATGGAACACCTAATCAGTAGGAAGGGATGAACGGAGCACCTAATCAGTAGGAAGGGATGAAAGAGAGCGCCTAGCTCTGCGCATCTTGCCGTCATTCATTCTAGAGCGACGAAAAGGTCCTCGAACGTCGTTCGGTGATGCAAATTTAATTGCCGCGGATTTCAGTTGCGAAACTGAAAATTTTGGCGGGAAAATTTTTTTCGCCGATTTGATTGCGAATTTTCGGAAGCATATTGGGGCATTTGGCCGAGGGGGTTCGGGGCGGAAGGGTTAAGGAACTCTCAAGCCAAAATTGACTCGTCGCGAAACGGAATTTCAGGCTCGCGCGATTTTTCAATCGACTCACGAAACATGCATGGGATTTGAATAAATTAGCATAATGAAGCCGTCGCCAACAGCCGCAACCGAGTTTTTCCTTTTTGGGTTTCGTTGCCTCGATTTGTCACCGTCCAGCGGTGACCCGGGTCATGACCCGAGTCACGACCCGGGTCACGACCGTCATGACCGAATTCCGTGATCGTTCTCGATTCCTTTTTGTTTCCATTCGGTGAAGGCGCTGACCGTGGCCGCGATCGAAACGGGGTCGGTCGCGGAGGGAGGCTCGGTGACAGCCCTCTCGGAGGGAGGCGCAGTGACAGACCTCTCGAGGCATCCGTCATCGGAGCGGCAGGTCACGTCCCGCACGAGACGGGTGTCGAAACACTCCAGTTTTGGGAATTGCGGGTTCGCAGTTGACCAAATCCGGACCCGAAAGGTGTCCGGTCTCCCTTTTCTGTCGCAACCGGCATCCGGTCGACATCCGGCATCCGGCATCCGGTCGGCAACTGTCGCTTATTAAGTGAAGCGTGCTTTTTTTCGGCTGCGAATCGACGCATCGAGCCGACTCCACGATGGACAAAATCGCCAGTCGATCCGGTCGATCTGCCCTGCAGCGCGATTACCGGGAAAAAAAAATCAGGAAAAGTTGAAAAGTGCGTTCGAGTTGACCTGCGACGCCCAAGCCACAGCTGCGAAGCGTCCCTCAAAGCAACGGGAACACTCGAGGAGACGTAAGGAGAGAATGCCTTGCAAGGGGAACGAGCTTCATAACTAACGTCTGAGGAAAAACAAATCTGGTTCTTGCCATAACCGTACGGGAGACACGCGGCGACGACCCCATCCTCCCCTGCCATCCCATCCCATCCCCCTGCCATCCCATCCCTTCCCCCTGCCATCCCATCCCTCCCCCTTGACTTCCTCGAAACGATCCATTTCCGCTGGAACGGGGAGAGACGGCCTCGCAAGCGAGGACACTCCTCGGCTCTGCTCGCTCCGAGTCTCGGGGATTCCATTGGTTCTATCCGCTGCGACTGAAGGTTTCGCGAGCGATTGGGGATGAGAGGCGTCCGGGTTCCTCGGCGCTTTTTATGCTCAAATCTTAAATAACCATTCATTTCGTGTCACCTCGAAATGTCACTTTTTTTTTTGGGGGGGGGGGGGGCTGAGAATTAGTTTCTCCGACCCTTTGTTTAAAAACTACGCGAGTAACGAGGAGCCTCTGCGCTCCTTATGAGTTATAACCAGGTAAGCGATTTCTCTATGCATTATCGGGCATTTCTTCGGAGGAGGAAAATGATCGCCAAATTGAATATCCTTTTTTTTTTAATGCGCAATTGGAACATGAAAGAAGAAGCCTGTCGAATTTGAATTTGATACGAGTGCCGATTGGAGGCGCATTTAAGTACCTACTCAGTTCGTTAAAATCCAAACGAGGGTAAGATAAATTAATCCTCAGTCACATAAAAATGATTGACGATAGGATGTTGCATCTTTGCGTGGACGGTGAGGGGTTTTGTTTATTTGAATATTTTTTTAAAATGGAATTTCAGTGTCGAAATTCCTCAACCACTTCCAGGAGCGACTCAAGTTTTTTTTTTCTTAGACTTTTGCGGAGTTTCCTCCAAACTTGGGGGGCTTCAACCCCCCCCCCCCTAGCCCCTCGCTACGCCACTGGGTCTAGAGATAGTCAAGACATGTACACAAAATAAATGGTTACTTAACCCATCGCAAAAATAATAAACTACTTTCTCGGGGCTTTGCATTGCCCTCACATCTTCCTAAGATGACCAGCAAAAGTGAATGCAAAAGACGGAACATTTTATTATTTTTTAAATATTCAATTGGCTTCATCATTCCACCAATCGTGAAGTTCTTGATAACGCCATAATAAAGGGAGAAGAAATCCGGCCGCAATCATAACAACCATGATTTGAAATTATTGTAAATGATGGTAAATTAATTTAGACTTCAATCTCCTTTGAAAATAAATACAAGTAATTCTTAATTACTAAAGATTGCAAAAGCAACGCAATCTTTTGCAATTGCTTTAGCAACGGGGAGAAAGTCCTTAAACATTGACGACAACACCCAGAAGCAACCCCAAACTGTGAGGATTCCAATGGAGTTCCCACACCCAGTTCAGGTGGACGATGAGCATCAAAGTTTTGCTCCCTTACAAAAAATTTCCCCATAGGTAAAATTGGGACGGTGAAACTGAGGTAAAAAAGAAAAAAAAAGAAAAAAAAGAAGGTTTTTCCCCCCATCTCTCAACCTGTCAGAAGACCCTTCAGGTAAAGATTAGGGGAATAAGCGGTGAAATTCGGACGAACGAGGGGGTAACTTTTTGTATGGGCTGTTTCTCTACAAAAGAAGATTCTGCTTTCCAGGACAAAAAAAAAGCATTTAAGAATATCCCTTGATTATTGCACGCCACCGTTGAAAAAAAAAAAGTGATATATGACACTCGGAGCAGAAATGAAAATGTCCAATTACCAAATAAAAAAATCATTATTTCTCGAAGAAACATAGCAACACAACCGAATGAACATAATTCGAACTCGGATCACGAAAGCGTCACGGCGAGAAGAACCAGGATCGAGACTAGACCGGGCCCGCCCTCGGCCGCCCCACTGCACCACCGAGACAAGAACAGTTCCGAGAGATTCCCGTACACGACCCCCGCCTCCGCCCCGCAGTCCGCCTCCACCGCCCCGTGATACAGGAGGCACCCCCGCTGCCACCACAGGGTCCTGCACCCGGCCCCACCGTCAACGGAGGAAACACGCGGGCGAGACGCAAGGGAATCGCACTTACGGGCAGATGGACGTGTCCACCTCCAGCCGGAGGATCTGCTGCCAGATGTTCTCCGTCAGGCTGCTGTGGTGGCAGCCCCAGCGGTTGTTGCGCCGCACTTCCTCCAGACAATACAGGTTCTTCAACAGCACTAAAAAATAAAAAATAAAAAAAGAGGCCGTGAAGTCTTATGACAAGGACGAAAGATTCATCATTCTAATTCATTGCTGTACAGTTATTGCTCTGCAGTACTTTGCAATACAGGGTGTTAATTTATCAAACTTATCGAGTTGAAAATTGAATTTTTTTTAACGACCGAAGAGGTGAACGAAATTTCGTCGGTCCGGGCGACTTATGTCTCTTGGATATTTGTAATTGACAAATTTGGAGATTTTGGATTTACCTCACAATTTAAATCCTAAGATTTGACCTTCCTGTCGTGACTTACTCGAGTAGAATAAAGGACAATGCACCGCCTCACTTCTCAGTTCTCGTTTCCGCCCAGATTCAGAAATTCCAAGACGGCACCGAATTTTCAGTTCTAAACTGCGTATTACAGAATATGAAGAAGGTTCAATTTCAATAGTGCATCGAAATAATAGAAATAATCGACTGTAGTTGAATTAAATAACGCTTGGCTCACCTCTTCGGCCATTTAAAAATATTTATATATTTAATTCGATAGTTAATTTTCACACCCTTTGAATTTATACAATTCCAATCTCCTTCGCTAGCCTTGGCAGTGAACGAAAATGAGAGCTGTCGGTCACCAAGAAATCGAGATCGGATGACGTCATGGTCGCAGACGAAGTCGTAGGCCTCGATGAGACTCTCCACCAGCTTCCGATATCGGAAGAAGTCCGCGAAGTAATAGCACCAATGCGTGAGGATATGCTCGAAGCAGTCCAGCACCTCCTTCACCTGACTGCAAGAGACGGCGATGAAATTACCGCGGCGACGGCCGACCGAGACGCCGACGGCCGACAGAGACGGTCGTACTTGCAGTTGTTCTCCAGCTCGGGTCCGTCGAGGAGGAGCGGGGTGTCGTCCGAGCGCGGGCGGGAGACGATCTTCTGGATGGCCGGGAAGTCCCGTTCAAGGTAGATGTGGAGGCAGACGCCGATGTCCTTCGAGTTTTTGGTGCATCCCTCCGCGACTGTGAAACAGAAGTCGCCAGTTAGGGGCTGCTTGAGAGTCGCGGTGCTGGCGTCGACGGTTCGGTGGAAGTGTGACAAGACATCAGGCGATTAAAAGAATCGGTAGGCGTCTGCGGGGGTGGGGTGGGGGGAGTCTGTTCTGAGAAACGTGGCTCATTTGAGTCACTCATCTGTCATGGTCTTTTCTCGACCTAAACTTCCGAAGCATGAGGGTATCCTAGTCTTGAGTGGGGTTCTCTGTCATTTTTTAATCCTGGCTCAGTTGAAAGAGGATTTCCGAGGATCTTTCCCGAGAGTGCGGGAAATAATCCCTTCATTCCGGAGTTGGATATACATATATAGTACAGGACTCCGTCCCCTTTTCGAAACGCTCGAAACGACTGGAGAAACGAGCGAAAAACGTCGGGATTTGGGGAACCGCGCTCCGTCCGAGATTGCGCCGCAGCCCGTCACGCCCCCTCGACCATGTTGTGGAAGCCATTTCAACGACACTGGGAGGATAATGGAACGAGAGAACAACGGGGCCGAACGCCACACGCGAGGGCTCAGCGAGTCCACACCGCGCACCCGAGACGGCCCCTCGACCTCACCCGAGACGGCCCCCCGACCTCACCTGAGACCAGCAGAAAACCGACGACGAGGAATCCACTCTTCATCGCCGCCTCCCGATCCCACGATCCCCGCCGACGAAGGGGAAAGCAACGGAAGCCATCCTTCCCCCGAGATAAGACACTTCCGAGACGCCAGCCTCCCTCCTCGGCAGCTCCGCGTCGACTGACGCCGCGCCAGCATCCACGCAGTCTCACGGGAGCCAGCGCCTCTCCCGTCCACGTGCGGGATGTGGAAACCAGGTCGAGGTCGCCCCGATCCGATGGAAAAATGATTCGTTTTCGTCCACTCCGCCTGGTCGTCCTTGAAGGCCTCGGGAGAGAACGAGTTTCATCGCTTCCCGGATTCGAAACCGATCACGGTCGACATCGTCGCACTCCCATCGACTCGCCTTTCGTCGCGGCTTGGAAATTCGGCCGGACCGAGCCCATGATGAAACACGCGCCGTAACGATGAGACCCGTTCCCAATCGTCACCCGCCCGGTCGCCATTGCCTCGGGCGAAACGATTACACCGGGGGGGGGGGGGGGGGGGGGGGGGCGG